ACTCTCTCTCTCTCTCTCTCTCTCTCTCTCTCTCTCTCTCTCTCTCTCTCTCTCTCTCTCTCTCTCTCTCTCTATCCCTCTGCTCTTACACGACGTCTTCTCCTTCGTTAAACTTCGCACAGACAAAGTGAACTCGTCAAGATAACACAAACATTCATATATATAGGATAGGATATAGTTCACACACGAGTAACGCAATTAAACGTGTTGTTTATGTCTTAAAGAACAATCAACTTTTTATCAATTATTATTTACGTATACTTCATAGTATGTCTTCAAATTTTTCTTACTCAATCGCGTATATAATAAATTCGACCAGGAAAAACGAGGGTCATAAAAAAATAAGTATACAGAAAAGAAACTAAGTATACGAATCCGAATATTAGAATTTGTTAATAAACACAATAACACTTGTCTTTTATGACATTTACAAAGTTCTTATATTTTAAAAATAATAATGATATAAGAAGACAATTCAATGAGTGGAATTTTTTTTTCTACAGCACTGTAAAAAGAAAGGTACTAATTTAGTACCAATTTTAGTACTAAATCGTCATTTGGTTCTATTTTAATACCGAAAATCAGCACTATATAATTTAGAACCTTTTATTTGCAGTGAAATTATTTTATTCTTTTTTAAAACTTTTTATCCCCCATCCCGAGCGAAAGGGCTAAAATAAGTTTTTTTTTCTGGGAAAATTTTTCGAATTTTGCAAGAACACTTGAACATAAAGTTTAATTGAGAATTGTCTTCGGCTAGATATAGGCTTTAATCGGATGGATACTCTTTGGTAAAAAAGTAGAAAATTCATCTCGATTCATTCTGCTATGGTTGATTAGGTGGCAAGTTCGAAATTTTTACTTCGAAATGAAAAAAATCTAATTCGATTTTAAGAAATTTTAGCTGCTCTGCGTATATTATTGAAGTAAAATACATAAGGGAAGACCTCTACGAATTCGGTAGGTCACGGTCTCCCCAGGGGGCAAAATGAGTCTTATCGGTTTATTGCTGGCATCCTTCGTTCTTTAAGAGTTCAACTACAGTGTCAGTCGCCTATTAATTCTTAATCACACGACGTCATTCTTCATCGTCGAGTCATCAGAAAAACTGTGCCTGATAATATTTAGTATATATCACACATATACAAATTTTAACATTAAAGCTACCGTCACTTTATTAATATCCGTGTAGGAAAATCCCCGACCAGGCTCCGATTTGGTTGAAACACGACGCTCTACCGGACTTCACCGTTAATTACTCAGAGATTTCTGAAATCGCTAATTACGACTATGATATCATTAGTTTTAAAAAAATCAAAATGGCGGCTCTAAGATGGCGACCGAAATTTTTTTTTTAAATTATCAGATTCGCCTGAAAGTGGCTATAATACTGGGAAGTTTTTGGGGTATCTGATTATAAATATGATGTTACGTTTACAAAAACATTTTCAAGGGGATATTGATCACAGGTTTCAATTTTTAAAGAACCAGGGAACATTAAAATTATAAGAGCTGAAAAATATTAGATTGATCACTTACAATAGATTAAATATTAGATTTTATGAATAGTAACTTTACCTTAAAGATTTGTTTAAGTGAAACATGTTAAAAAATTTCTTTTTATATTGACTATTCAAATAATTAAATCTAATGCATTATTATACCTTTCAAATAATGTCAAAAAACTCACGCATTAAATATTGAATTCAATATTTTTTATATGAAAATCTCAAAAAAATTGTACAACTTTTTATTGTTAAAATTATTAAAAATTCTTTACATTTTAGATTTTCTATACTTATAAAAAATTTCAATTTTAAACATTATTTTATTTGAATAATGAAAAAACTTTCATTTTATTGAAAATAATAATTGATTTAATTGGTTTATTCAAGAATTTCATAATAGTTAAAAAAAATACTAGAAAATAATTGTATTTTAAAAGAATTAATAGTTGCAATTGCGATTTTTCGTACAATTTATTCTATAAATAATAAAATTTGTCAAAAATTCCAAACTATAATAACTATATGAATTTCTCAGTTTCAAAAACTCTGAGAAATAATATAAAAAGATGACAATTTTTTTAAAAAGATTTTCATAAAAATAAGGGGGAAAAGGGAGAAAATTTATGATTTTAGATGTTTTAGGTGATTTTATTAATTTAAAGGGATAAGAAGTAAACAGGGAGATGTATGTATGTGTGTGTATGTATGTCACTCGATTCTTGTGGACAAATTTTCTCTTACACGTTTTGATGGATTTTGATAAAATTTGGTAGGTGTATTACGGTCACGAATATCTAAAATCAGACAGAAGGATTTTCAAAAATATCTAAAAATAAAAATTTTTTAGCAATTTTTTAATATTTTAAAAAAATTGATTTTTGTATTTTTTGAAATAACATTCTTCTTTATTAAAATTTTTATTGATTTTTATCAAAATTGCATTCTTGACATAAAATCGAATCGATTCATGTATATAAAGTATATATTTCATCACTATTCGTAAAATAATTGATATTTTTATTTTTAACAAAAAAATCAAATTTTGTATTTTTTGAAATAACTTTTTTCTTTATTAAAATTTTCATTGATTTTTATCAAAATTGTATTTCTGACATAAAAACGAATCGATTCATGTATTTAAAGTATATATATTTCATCAATATTTGTAAAATAATCGATATTTTTATTTTTTACAAAAAATTCAAATTTCGTATTTTTTGAATAACTTTTTTCTTTATTAAAATTTTCATTCATTTTTATCAAAATAGTATTCCTGACATCAAAAGGAATTGATTCATGTTTATAAAGTATATATTTCATAAATATTTGTAAAATAATCGATATTTTTATTTTTAACAAGAAAATCAAATTTTGTATTTTTTGAAATAACTTTTTTCTTTATTAAAATTTTCATTGATTTTTATCAAAATTGTATTTCTGACATAAAAACGAATCGATTCATGTATTTAAAGTATATATATTTCATCAATATTTGTAAAATAATCGATATTTTTATTTTTTACAAAAAATTCAAATTTCGTATTTTTTGAATAACTTTTTTCTTTATTAAAATTTTCATTCATTTTTATCAAAATAGTATTCCTGACATCAAAAGGAATTGATTCATGTTTATAAAGTATATATTTCATAAATATTTGTAAAATAATCGATATTTTTATTTTTAACAAGAAAATCAAATTTTGTATTTTTTTAAATAACTTTTTTCTTTATTAAAATTTTCATTCATTCTTATCAAAATTGCATTCCTGACATAAAATCGAATCGATTCATGTATATAAAGTATATATTTCATCACTATTCGTAAAATAATCGATATTTTTATTTTTTACAAAAAATTCAAATTTCGTATTTTTTGAATAACTTTTTTCTTTATTAAAATTTTCATTCATTTTTATCAAAATAGTATTCCTGACATGAAAAGGAATTGATTCATGTTTATAAAGTATATATTTCATAAATATTTGTAAAATAATCGATATTTTTATTTTTAACAAGAAAATCAAATTTTGTATTTTTTTAAATAACTTTTTTCTTTATTAAAATTTTCATTCATTCTTATCAAAATTGCATTCCTGACATAAAATCGAATCGATTCATGTATATAAAGTATATATTTCATCACTATTCGTAAAATAATCGATATTTTTATTTTTTACAAAAAATTCAAATTTCGTATTTTTTGAATAACTTTTTTCTTTATTAAAATTTTCATTCATTTTTATCAAAATAGTATTCCTGACATGAAAAGGAATTGATTCATGTTTATAAAGTATATATTTCATAAATATTTGTAAAATAATCGATATTTTTATTTTTAACAAGAAAATCAAATTTTGTATTTTTTTAAATAACTTTTTTCTTTATTAAAATTTTCATTCATTCTTATCAAAATTGTATTCCTGACATAAAATCGAATCGATTTATGTATATAAAGTATATATTTCATCACTATTTGTAAAATAATCGATATTTTTATTTTTAACAAAAAAATCAAATTTTGTATTTTTTGAAATAACTTTTTTCTTTATTAAAATTTTCATTAATTTTGGTCAAAATTGTATTCCTGACATGAAAACGAATTGATTCATGTATATAAAGTATATATTTCATCACTATTCGTAAAATAATCGATTTTTTTATTTTTAACAAAAAAATCCAATTTTCTATTTTTTAAAATAACTTTTTTCTTTATGAAAATTTTCATTAATTCCTATCAAAATTGTATTCCTGCCATGAAAACGAATAGATTCATGTATATAAAGTATATGTTTTATCAATATTTATAAAATTAATCAATATTTTTATTTTTAACAAAAAATTTAAATTTTGTATTTATTTTGAAATTTTATCTTAATACTTTAAAATAATTATTCTATAATAAAAAATTAAGCGAGTGGTATATATTATATTGAGGAAGTTAAATGATCATTAAATAAACAATTTGTTTTTAGAATTTTGAACCTAAAACAGTTTTTTCAGAAATAAGTTAAAAAAACAGTAAAAATAAATAAATTAATAGATAGGTATTCTTATATCTTTTATTAAAATATTTCGTTTATTTGACTGTTCAGAATTTTTTGTTGATATTTTAATGATAATTAACAAAATAGTAAAATAAATTATAAATGGTAAATAAGTATAGTAAAAAGTGAATAGTAAATAAATATAAATAATAAATCTCAAAAATAGTTGATAGAATGTAAATTTTTGAATTTAATTACCACTATTGTCTTTTTAATTTACAATTCACGTGGACTGGTAAAAGAGAATTAAATTGAAGCCGAAGATGAAAACTTATGCTGTCTGCCTAGAGTTAAGTGTGGCTTTGTGTGGATTGCATTGCATTATCAGTTGGCGCGAGTTGATGTCGCACCAATGGGACGGCGAAGAGGATCAGGGGGAACGGTGCAAAGCAAACTGATAGCGGGCCTATTTATAAGAGGTTTCAACCATCTACAATATTAGTTTGACATTCGTCTCTTCCGCTTACAGTAGCTCGTAAATTTCTCTCCTTTTTCCCCCATTTAGCTCCTTTCAAGCGAAATACCCAAACGTGTCGTCATCATCATCATTCAAAAATTCAGTGATTTCAAAATAAATTCTCGTGCCTTCAAAGAAAGTTGAAACAAATAAAAAAAAACATTTCTCTGCAAATTAATCTACAGGAAAATTCTTCATGTGGATTATTTGACAATTATGGAGAACTTCTCCTAGCATAACAAATAAGTTCTTCTACAAATTATATCCTATTTAGTTCGGTTGTGTTAAGAAGGAAGTGAAGAAATATTGACTTTGTTTTTTTTTTTTTTTTGGCGAAACACTTTAATAATTTTAAAAAACTTTGCTGTTTTTGCAGCTCTGTCTTATGATTTGTTTTGTGCGTCCCAGCCTAGTTATGTTTTCGATCGAGTACAGCAAGCAATTCCTGAGCTACCGCATACTCAAGTCCAACCGGTTCAAATATATCTGACGATACGGACTCGGACCAAGTGCTAAAAAAAGGTGCGCAAGTGTGCGTGAGTGTTTGTGCTAGCGTTCAAGCTCAGGAAGCACACTCCCTTTGGTAAGACCTGGAAAGTCTTACCACTTTTATGAAAATTTATTTCACTTTGAAGCAAAATTTCACTAACCGATTCATTCGGATCAATTTAATTCTAAGGAAGTTTTTAACAACGACCAACAAATGATCAGATCGACTCCCATTATTGAGAGTAAGGATCTAAACATCAAATACACTACATATCAAAATTAATTACAACTTTTTAGAGTCTGATGAAATAAAATTGTCATAAAGAAGCGTTGGGTTTGCGAGATCTGCACAAAGTTTGTTGAATTGAAGTAATAAAATTGTCAATAAGAGCGTTGAGTTTGTTTTGAAAAAGCGAGAACAACGAATAAGTTTGTTGAATTGAAGTAAAATAAAATTTGTTGAAAAATTGAAACCATGATTGTTTATGTTCCGGGCAGAATGCCAAGTCACGTTGGTCATCCGTACGGTGTCGCTCGCTATCCGGGCAGCCTGCTAGGTGCAGTACCGGGTTATTATAATCCAATTTCCGAATATTCAATTGGGCAAAACTCCAACTACTACGGAAATTTGGGTGTTCACCAGCCGTCGCTGGATCTTCCGGTGTGGCCACGGAGGATGCCGGCAGAAGAAGAACTAGTGACGTCGCCCTCTGCAGGATTAGCGAGCCTGGGGGTTTCGCCTGGTACACTTGGTGGTCCTCCCAGTCCCGTGCACAGCGATTCCGATGCTTCCAATTCGAGTTTAGAAATTGGCTCCGATAAGAGGGGAGACAATGCCCAACTCAAGTGCAGGTAAATTTTTTAAACACTTTTCTCTATGTACTCTGAATTTTAGGTTCCTGAACATGGCAAAACTGTTTTTTTTCTCTTAAATTGAGAATGTTACTTAGTTTTTGAGTTAATCAGTTTCTGAAAGTTTACACAAAGCTCTTCGAATCTAAACAAAGTTCGAATCTAAATCAAAGTTATAAGTTCATACTGTTAACTTAAAAGCATCAAATCACAGTTTTTCTAAAGATTTCAAATTGAGACAAAAAACGAAGCAAAAATGTTGCTTCGCAACACTTTTGCTTCGTTTTTTGTCTCAATTTGAAATCCTTAGAAAAACTGTTGATTGCAACAACAGTTTTAAATTTTTCCGAAAAAGCTCTTTGAATCTAAAATCCTACGATAGTAAATTCACTTTTAACTTAAAAATATCAAATTGTAATGAATTGATACTAAAAATGTGGATCAAATGAAGAATTGATCTAAATTTTTTGTATCAATTTGATCCACTTAAGAATCAATTTTATAAAAAAAAAACGGTTTTTTAAAATTTTTAATTTTTGTCTTAATTTGAACCTTTTTAATGTATACTATACCTACAAAAAACATTTAGCTGTTAAGAAAGTAATGGTGATATTAATTAAGTTCTTTTTGTTAAAAGTCATTTACTTCTTGGTATTAAAAAACAAAAGTAAGTAAAAACAAAAGTTCAATGAACTCTTCTTGTACCTCTTACGTAGTGCTAACAACCTATAAAATTATTATTTTTCTGTTATGCAAATTTGAAACTTATCTGACAGAGTCAACAGTTTTCTTATTGGTTCAATTACCAAAAATGCTATGCAAGAAATATCAATTTTCTTCAGTACAATTTTCTTGAAAGTATCAAATTGATACCAAAACAAGAAATAGGAAATATACGTTAGTTTTGGATCCCAGTTGATTTTCCTATAAGTTTTTGAATTTAATACCTATAGTTTTCTTCAAACACATTTTTGGTATCAAATCGTTGCAATTTGTTATTTTTGAGTTGGCAGTTTGGATGATTCTCCAGAAAAAGGGTCACTTTTACTTCTGTATTTTACAAATTTAAAATTATTATTCAAAAAGTTATGAAACTTTATAGTTACTCTTTTATCCTGATATTTATCAAAATACATCCAAAAAGCAAAATTATTTCTTTTATATGAGTTAAAAAATTCAAAATTACCATAAAAAATGCACTTTCCTTGGTTTATAAAAACTCCAGAATTAAAAACTTAAAATTCAAAATTTATAATAAAAACGACTGGAAACGAAAAAAAATAAATTTCCTGCTGAATCCTTTTAAATGTAATTTTTAATTTATTTAAATATTAATTACAAATTTATAATGCAATAGTGCGACGAAAATGAGATTTTATGTTTTTGCATAAAATTTAAAAGACTGTACTAAAAATGTTTTAAATTTCAAAAAATGTAAATCTGAAAACTTTTGAATTTATATATCAAAGAGAAAAAAAAAGAAAAACTTGAGCAAGTAAGCAAATTATGCGATTTGTCTGCTTCTTAGCTTATTCTTTTCATCAACTTTAACATATATAATTTGGAAAAAACTTTTCATATGTAAAAATTCTATTGAAATTCTAATTAATTTTACTTTTTTAATGGAAAGTTTTTAGAGAAAACGTTTTGAAAATTTCGTCATTTAAGATCAGTTTATTAATTCAATTTAAATGTTAATTTTATGCAATATAATATATGAAAATATATGATAAACTATATAAAAGTTTGCTCAAGTGGATTTTTTTATTAGAGATGACAATTAGAAATCATTTTACTATATGAATGGTATACTATTGATTACTTTTAGGATTATACATGGAGAGAGAATATATATTAATTTTTGTAAAAGTATTTTACAAATTGGGGAAAAAGTGCGACACAACAAAATTTTGATATAAAAAATACTAATTTTTAAAAAAACTTATGTGAAATTTAGTAAAGTTATATTAAATTTCCGTTGAAATATTTTTGCCAGTGTTTGTTTGGCCATATTTCCAATTTCGGTCAATTAATAATTCGGTATTTTAAAAATTCTATCAAAGATCAATTCGTACAAATAAAACATATCGAACGAGAGTTCTTTGAATAGACATTTGTCCAATATAAATTTGATTATAAAATTTTGTGTCAATTTTAAATTATATTAAATAGAAGTGCTATATAACAAAAACTTTTAGAAATTAATTTTCTTTACTGACAGATTTCTGTTCAATAGAAATTCATAATAATTAAAATTCAATTATTTTTAAGTTATATTTGGTTTTGGAGTTATCATCAATTATAATACAAACAAATAATAAATCATTTAATAATCGTCTATAGCTAAATATTGATAAAAATTCTACTTCAATGTGATGAAAATTCGAATAAATTATAATTCGAAGTAAATATTTTCTGTTAAATATTAATTCGAAATAACAAATTTCAAAAAACTGATAATTCAGTACAGAGCTAAAAAAATTAACTTTTATTTATATTTACGCATAGTTTTTGGTTCAAATTATCAAATCCCCACACAACAGGGAAACTTTCCTAAAAGTTTATTAAATATTTGCTTGTAATATTTGAAATATTCAAATGCAAAGTTTAGTGAAAATTGTGTCTCGATTGAATAAATGTTTAGCATGAAAGTATCCTTAAAAGTAAAAAATTTAAAAATCACTTGAAGAAAGTAAAATTTTTCCAAAAATTAGTGAAAATGTTTACTAATTTGAATTAGTGGGCGAATTTCACTAATATTTAAATTTAAAGAAGTTTGGTTCAGTGGAAACGACCAAATCTCTTACTGAGATGAAAAAATTTAAACTGAAACAAATATTCACTTAAATGAAATAATTATTTATGTAGGTTAAATAAACTTTATTTAAAATAACCTTGCAACTTGGGTCTGTACGCATTAAAATAGAATATATTTTATAATAAATAGACCCAAGTTGCAAGGTTGAAACATAATTTTTAATTTGTGTAGCAATAATTACCAGAAGATAAAAAAAAATGGTCTTTATCGTATTTTATCACAAAGTTACAAATTTCGTGATTAAAAAAAAAATATTCCTTTATAAATATACCTAATATACGTATAGATTTAAAAAGAAAATAAAAATATAAAAATTTTTTTGCGTCTCAAAAAAAGAATATTTATAATTTGAAAACGAAATGCTTCTATATTATTTCTGATGTGTGTAATAAATAATTATCTCTTACATGCAAGTCAATAGTAATAATAAAGAAATTAACTCAAAGCACCTATTACCTTATCTATTTCTAATCGCACTTATAAGTTTTAATACTAAGTCAACAGACGTTGAGAAATCCAGAAATATCCAGTGACTTACTCTCTTTTTCTCTCTTATTGAGATATTCACAATAACATTTCATTACTTTTTAATATACGATTGATGAGTGGATTTACAACGTAATGAAAAGCGTGCAGAAACATTTCTCCTTCTCTCTCTCTCTTTCTAGAAGAAAATTTTCTTCGTTTGCGTATTTTAAACACTTTTCATTATAAAATATAAATCAGGGTGTAAAGTCAATCATTTGACTGCGGAAGGGTCGCAGATATTTGTCGACGCGTTCCACGATATCAAATAACTTATATTTCTTCTGCGCGCGTGTATTTACACAGACATGTGTGTAATTTATTATTCTTGTATCATAAAATTTTCTACAAAAGTATTAAGAATATAGATATGTATAATGAGAACTCTCGGTTTATTTCTAACTTCTCCTCAATTATTACAGGGATCCAAACTGATAAGATGCGAATCGCGGCCTTTGATACAACTTCTAATTGTGTATACATTTTTTATTCGCTACTATAAATTTTAGTGTTAATTATTTTATCTTCTTCTTTTTGCTATATTTGCAAAATTCTCAAGTTATTTATTATTAATAAATAAACTAATATAAATATTGTTGTCTTATTTGGTTTCTTTGTTTATATGTAATGTTTCTCGTATCATGCACATGGCATTCACGTGCACCATGTAAACAATTTTAATTCAAGAAATATTTCTTATCTCTTCCAACATTCTATCTCTTTATCATTTAATATTTAAGGAAATGATATTAATTATTGGAGAAAAGAATTTCTTTTTAGATCAATATTGAAAACTTCACTATTATTCATTTTTTAAAAACTTCACTGTTGGGTTTCAATTAAGATTTTCTCGTTATGGAAGTAAATTTTCAAAATATTTACGAAGGATAAGTAATGTTAAACAAATAAATAATTAAATACGTCCCCTGAAGTTAGCGTCGAAAACTAATATTTTTTGGTGTTTTTGCCACAACTTCTTTCATTCACCTTGATAGGTGAAAATAAATTAAAAATACTTTTTTTTAAACAAAAAAACCTTAAAAGAATTGTTTCATTTTTGCAATAAAAACTAAGTTCAAGGACCTAAATAAATAAATAATGTAAATTTTGGTTTATGTAAAATAATAATTGTTAAACTCATAATTAAAATGTTTAATTAATCGATATAAATAGATTGCCTTTAGATAAATGTTCGGAGCAAAAAAAATTTGATAAATTATTTTCTGCACGATTGGGACTTAAAGAAGAGAAAAACATGAAATGTCACGTGCATTGATCTTATCACCTGTGCAAACAATTATCGTCTGTGTAAGTCCCTTATACTGTTGATAACAACAATGTAACAACTACCTCTTGACATATTCAATTTTATCTCTCAAGCGTGTGATATTCAAAGATATAAATTATAAAGTTGCGGCTATAAGTTGTGCAAAACGAAAAAAAATTTTGAATTAAGATTACAGCCGAGCTTATTTTAACGATAAATGTATAATACAAAGGAATTTAAGTAAAGATCTTTCACTACAATTACAGAAAGTTTTGCTTCTTACCAGATGTAAACAAAGAATTACCATTTTTTTCTTGTTTTTTCAAAGTTCGGGGATCTTTCATAATTTTAATTTCTACATTCATGTAAAAGAAAAACGCAAAGTAACAAATAAAGTTATACCATATTTTACTGTTGCAAAACTTATTTTCAAACAAAAAAAAACCGATTGGCAAGAAGGACGTAATTAAACATAACCTAAAATAATAAACTTTTATTGTACTCACTTTTTACGCTTTTGACACACAATGCAGCTGACTTACTCATTATTAGACACACACGTTCTGTGTTTTTTCTTTATGCACAATTATCGATTATTAATAAAAATGTTTAAATTAAAAAAAATAAACAATACTGGAAACTGCTTGAAACACAATACAAGTAAAGTCCAACGCACAATAGGTTCGCGAAAGTCGTTCGCGAACGAGACGCATGAGACAGACAAGGACACAAATATATCTCTGTCATTTTCTAACTCATGCTTTGCGTTCGCAAACGACTTTCGCGAACCTATTGTGCTTAGGCCTTAAATCACGCATATGAGCTTTGAGACATAATAAGGCGATTCTCCAATACCAATTTTCACGTCCACACTGACTTCGACCTGATGGCAAATGTTGACAACTCTAACTAGTAAATTTATTACAATTACATATAACATGAATCAATTATTAATAATTAATTATAAAAGTAATTAATTATTAATAATTAATTGATTTATAGTTAATTATTATTAATTAATTTAATTATTGTAAAGCTGTAAAGGTATTTCTCCAACAGCTTGAAGATATACATTTATTTTATCTGATTCCAAAGTAATTGTATATTCTGCATGTAAATTTACGATAATTTGCTTTGAATTTAATGATTTAAAGTGAATTTAAATGCAAAATGTGCAATTATACTTTGAATCGGACAAAAAAATTAATTTTCAAGCTATTGCAGAAACACCTTTAATACACCTTGATGTGAATGCGATTTTGACATTTTTTGGTAAATTTTTTTTTCATCGACCCTATCGACAGTCGACATAAAAATTGTTATTGGAGAATTGCCTTAAAACACAAAGTCATAGAGGTCAAAAGAAAGGGGAAGAACCGCAGTGATATTTTCCAATAAAAGAACATAGAAATTTTAGGTTACGTTAAGTGAAAAAAAATTGTCTATCAAATATTTTAAGAAATAATTCGTCAAACTTGACTAGAATTTCACTAGAATTTATTTTTAAAACACTAAAAATTATCCGAAATTATCTCAGAATGAACTATCATAAATATATTGCGCAGAATTTTCGACTCTATAAAAACAAGTTTATTAGAACTCTTAAAGAGAACGCACACTAAACAATCAATAAATATTACCTTTTTGCATTTAAAATGAAATTCGTAGTAAAGTGAAGTTAACTGATGCCAATTGACTCAGAATTAGCATTCATTCAAAATGTTCAAATGACGCAAATTGTTCATCGCGACGTCATTTTTCTATTCACAGTATTATAATTTATAATTCTTATAAAAGTTTAATATTCAATACCTTTGATCTTGTTTTAATAAAACTGCAATTTAAAAAATAAAGTCAGTTAAAATGTCAATTTTCTCTAGTCACAAATATATTATATTGTCTTGATATATTCATAAGAAATAGATTATTAAGGACATGTGACTGTTGGGTCACGTGTTCCAATCTGACGAGGCTTAAATATAGAATAGAGCCATTTAAATCGGAAAATTCCCTCTTATTTAGAATTTTACCTATATACATAGAATAAGTAAATGCATTTACTATTAAATAAAAGTTAAAAAAAAAATAATTTTTTCCATCAGCTTTTAAAAATTGAAAAAATTTCTTTACAAATATTATAATGAAAGGAAAAATAACTATTATTCAAATCTAAATGAAGCAAAAAAATTTGAGGTTATGTTTTTAATTTTTTTAGTTAAAAAAATACAGAAAGAGAATCAATTATTAATAAAAAATTATTGATCTTCAAGTCTTCATTATATCTAAAATATTCAATGAAAATTGGTTTCAAATTCAAATAATTAAAAATAAACTTTTAATCAAGATAAATCTAACACGAACCTAACCTATAATTAATTTGCTTCTTAGGTATACCTTTCTTGGGAGAGCGTCACAAATTCATTAATTCACTTTCGTAAATCGTGAGGTGTTAAAATAACATCAGAATGGATTAAAATAATTTGCAACAGCTTAATCCCTCTAGGATTAAATTAACACCAGAAAGGATTAAAATAATCCATTTTGGTGTTATTTTTTACTTTAAATCAAACACCAAGTCAACGATTTGTCAAAATTCGATGAATTTAGCTTCACCAGGGACAATAGTTAGTTAGTAACTAACTTACGAACTAAGTAGCTCACAAACTTACTAACTAACTTACTAATTTACTTACTTACAAACTTAATTACTAACTAACTTTCTTTTTCCATAAAACTTCCAGAATGACTTTAAAAATGTTCTTTTTAAGGTTCACCATTTGTCTCTGATTTCGTAAACCTGAACTTTTCATTTACGTCATTGATTCCTAGAAATAATCTCTAAATCGTCGTCTATATATATTAACATGAATTGACTTTTGTATTCACTGATAAAGCAAAATGATTGAAAATAAACGACAACAAATGTGATTGAAAGTACTTGTATTACTTTAATCACATTTTTCATTTCCTTTTCTTTTAATTTTCATATTTTATATACAAATTAGTTTATCAAGTGTATCAAAAGAGGCGGTTATCAATTACATATAAAAATATTTTTTTTCTAAATTTATAATTATAGTATTTGAATTTTAGTAAATAGTTAAAATATCTCTGTTGTTTCTTTGTTGTTAAAAAATAGTTTTTCCTTGTTTCAGATGGCTGAATTGTGGACGATGGTTTACATCTTTGGAACAATTAGCAGGACATGTTGCCCGATTGCATGCAGCACCAGGTCCTCGAGGACTGTTTTACTGCGGCTGGGAAGGATGTGCCAGAGGTGAACGTGGTTTTAATGCGAGGTAAAGTTTCTTTTTTTTATTTTTATAGAATACGCCAAGTAAATTTAATTTAGTACTTTATTTCATTTTCTACAGGAAATAAAATTTTAAAAACTTCAATTTAAAACCTTTTGAATACCTTCTAAAAATTAAAACTATATAGTCCTTCCAAAATTCAATTATTAAAAAACAAAAATTCAATTATTTTCAAAAGTAATGAAATTTTTTGCAGAAATTCAATTATTTTCAAAAAATCAAAAAAAAAAAAAATGGTTGTCAACATTTCAATTATCTTTATAAATGAATAGAAAAAATTCTTCGACAAAATTCAATTATTTTCATATAAACAATAGCATTCATCACAAGAATTCAATTATTTTCAAAAGTAATAAAATTCTTCGTAGAAATTCAATTCTGTTCAAAAATTTAAAAAAATTCTCGTCAAAATTTCAATTACGATTTAGAAATAAAAAAATTCTTCTTAATACTTTCTAAAAATTACAACTATAGTCCTTATAAAATTCAATTATTTTCTATAATTTTTAATTAAATTTCATCTGTAAATCAATGATCTATTTAAAAAAAATCAATTTTTTATAATAATTGTTTATTTTAAAAAATAATTTCCAAATAATTGAAATTTGATAAAATAATAATAATAATATTATATTTTATTATTTTAATAAAATTATTATATTATTATATTTTAATAATTATTATTAAAAATAATTATTATATTTTATTATTTTATTATTATATATTATATTATATTATATTAATTATATTTGTTATATTAATTATATTTATTGTTTTATTATATTATAATAATTATAAAACATGAAGATAACGATCACTCTGAGTCTTCGACTCGGAGTCATCGCTTTCTTGATGTTTTATACATATTCTATGATATTCTTCAATTAAATATATTAGAAATTAAAAACTTCTAATACCTAATCAAAAAAAATTCCACTAAACTTTTTGAAAAAAATTAGTTCTACAGAATTCTTAATTGAAAGTACCTATGAAAAGTTCAAATTTTCAAAGATTTTAATCTGAAACTTTTTAAAAATTCAATTATTTCTAAAAATCCTCGCTTTTAATATTCAATTATTATCTAAAATTTTAACTGAAATTCAATTTTTAAATCAATTTTTATTAGAAAATTCTACTCGAATTCAATTATTTCAATACAAAAATAAATAATTTATTGAATAATTGAATGTTTCTTAAAAATCAATTCCCGTAAAGAATTTTATCAACAAATTTTTAAATAATTCAATTCTTTCGACGAATTTTAATAAAATTTTTAAGAATAATTTCAATTTTTCGAGAAATTTGATGAAAATGGTATTAAAAATAATTGAAATTCTACCAAGAAATTTATTAAAAGTTTTGAAAATAATTGAATTTTGGAGAAAAATGTTATTATTTATAAAGATAATTGAAATTTTGACGAGAATTTTTGTAAATTTTTGAACATAATTGAATTTCTGCGAAGAATTATATTATTTTTGAACATAATTGAATTTCTGCGAAGAATTATATTATTTTTAAACATAATTGAATTCTTGAGACGAATTTTTTTTAAATTTATTTTTAAAATAATTGAATTTCTTTGATAAATTTTAATATAATTTTTAAGAATAATTACATTTTTCGAGGAATTTCATTAAAATTGTAATAAAAATAATTGAAAATCTGCGATGAGTTTTAATATTTTATGAAAATAATGAAATGTTTGGGTAGAATTTTATTAAATTTTTCTTAAATAATTGAATTCTTTTGGAAAATGCTATTAAAATAGTAGTTATTAAAAATCATTGAATTGAAGAAATTTTTTGAAAATAATTGAATTTTTTGATAAGAATTTTACTATTTTTGAAAATAATTGAATTTTGTGATAAAAATTTTAATATTTTAGAAAATAATTGAATTTTGACAAGAATTTTATTAAAATTTTAAAAAATAATTTAATTTTGTGATAAGAAATTTACTATTTTTGAAAATAATTGAATTTTGTGATAAGAATTTTACTAATTTTGAAAATAATTGAATTTTACCAAGAATTTTATTAAAATTTTAGAAAATAATTGAATTTTGTGATAAGAATTTTACTAATTTTGAAAATAATTGAATTTTGTGATAAGAATTTTACTATGTTTGAAAATAATTGAATTTTGTAATAAGAATTTTACTATGTTTGAAAATAATTGAATTTTGTGATAAGAATTTTACTATGTTTGAAAATAATTGAATTTTGTGATAAGAATTTTACTATTTTTTGAAAATACTTGAATTTCTGCAATCATTTGTAATTGCTTCAAAATTCAATTTTTTTAGTGTTTTTAACTAAAATTCTTCTATAAATCCATTATTTTTAATAATCCCCTAATTTCGTCGGTTCTTTTACAAAAATTGAAATCTTATGAGTCTTTTTCTTCTTCAGGTATAAAATGCTGGTCCATGTACGAACACACACGAATGAGAAGCCCCACCACTGCTTCCAATGCGACAAGAGTTTCAGTAGAGCCGAAAATCTGAAAATCCACGCAAGATCTCACACTGGCGAACGACCCTACGTCTGTCCAGTGGAAGGTTGCAACAAGGCCTACTCGAATTCCTCCGATCGATTCAAACACACAAGGACTCATGCAGTCGATAAGCCCTATTGCTGCAAAGTCCCCGGCTGTCCAAAAAGGTACACGGACCCATCCTCGTTACGAAAGCACGTCAAGACCTACCGCCACTACGTCAACAACAACGACAAAATTCAAGAAAAGAGCTTCGACGAGAGCAGCAGTAGCAACACTGACAAAACAAGATTCGATTCAACGCCCGAGAAACTCACTAGCACACATTACAATTCCAACAAAAAAGATTCCAGTATCGAGAGCAACACCAGTTCTAGTCCAAAAGCGAGCAACAGTTTTGAGGAGCAAAGAAAATTCGTCGAGTGGAACAACATCTACAATGCGCAAGAACGAAAGGACCATCTCATGACCCCACCGAAAAATTACGACTCAGAAGTGAAAATCTATCCAATGATTTACGAAGAGAGTTACATACTACCAGAACGAATGCAGACAAATTCTCTATACCCTCAGACTCCACTCATGAACGAGCGTTCAATATCATCATCGCCAACCACTAGTCCAAAAGACGTTCCCGACATGCTCCATCGAATAGGAATGCAATCCACGCCCATCAAACTGGAAGACTCTTCCACCGATCCCCTCGGCAGAAGTGCGATCGTCGATTACAGAAATATTGAGTCAATCGTGAGCACTCCCTGCAAACGAGAGAACACAATAAACTGCGAGACTGTCCGAAATTCTGTGATAAAGCGAGCCGAGCACTTGAAAATGGAAATAATGGAGGAGCCGATTGCAAAGGAAGAGCCAAGAGCCGAATCCGAATGCTGCTGTCGTCACAAATGCTGCCATCAGAACAACGAAACAATCATTGAAAAAACAAGAATTCTCTCCGATCTGATTCTCAAGGCACAAAATCCACTATTCAGACATCTTTTAAGTTCAGTTGATCTTCAATACGGTTTGCAGAATATGTGGAGCAATATGGCTGATGGTAACAACACGTGCGGACAAGATCTTAGAGTTAAGAGTAGTGAGGTCACTGAAATGGAGCAGGATCTGCCATTAGACCTGACAATTAACAAGTAATCTTTTTTTTTGTCAAATTCAGAACCAAAAAACAAAATCTCATGTATCATACGCGTTATATCCGAAGTCTAGCTGGTCTAAGCCTTCGAGAATGGAAATTACTGGACTGATGATCCAGAATTCGAAAACAATGATGAAAAAGAAAAAAAAAATTAGGTGTCACTGAAAATAGAAGGTATAATTTGCTCGATACTTAGGAGGTCAGAGTACCATCTCATGTTCTGGTCAAACTTTCAAGCCAAATATATTTTTTAGAATGCATTTTATCGAGTCAATTCAAATCAAAATAAAATCAAACATGACTTGCTCAATACTTAAGTACTCTGACTACATTGTTGTGCACTTCAAGAGAATTTGTCTGGAGTTTATTCGTAAAAAATTTCCTTCTTTCTGGAAGATTTATAAATGTGACGCACTCCGAAGAAAAAAATACATTTAGACCTACATTTTCTTCCTTAATCCCTATCACAAAAGCATAAAAGAATGTAGGTCTCTGAAGTTGGCGTCGAAAATGATGTTTTTAGAGATTTCACTAATTCGCCTACAGAGGTAAATTATTTTTTGTAATATAAACTTTTTGTAATATAAAATCTTTATATTTTCCATTTTTGGAAGAACATTTTTCGACCCTCAGCGTCAATGCCAACTTGAGGGGAAAAAAGTTGCCAACTTCAGGGAGCTAAAAATGTTAGGTTATGTTTGCATTTCTCGAAATGAAAGTATACACAAAGGGGACCAATTTTCCATTGGTGTTTAAGTCTTGTACTTGTAATTACTTAAGTCAAGTAATACAATAACTTGTATTACTTAAGTCTTGTAATAATAAAAACTGAAACGAATCAGTTTTTTGTAAACACGATTTTTAATTCAGGCGGAAATAATACAAATATAACCTCAAAATGATTTGCATATAAGGGTATCTTTCTTCGGAGCGTGTCACCAATTTTATTGAAAATTAAATGGAGATGTTGAATGTCCGGTTTAAAAGTATTACAATTAGGCCTAAAGTTAATGTTAATGTTAATTATTTGAGAAGGATCGTAAAAAACATAAATTCGGAAACAAAAATTATATTCTATGAAAATACTAATAGTCAAAGTAAATTAAAATAAATCTCAAAATCAAATTTATTTTTACGAAATAATGGAGAAATTATAAGCTAAAGAGAGAGTAGTTCCAAAATTGAAAAATGTATTTAAAAACAGTTTCTTTTATAATAAAATATAAAATCATTAAATTTTCGTTAAAGAAAATTATTTACTAAAAATCGGATGTAAGAGTGTTCGATGGTTTCTTAAATTTCTAGGTTATGTGCGATCTACACTTATCGCCCAACAAAAACGTCACTAAACGGCTTAAATTTCGTGAAATTGGTAAACAATTATTTTCGAGCAAGTTTTTCTCTCCAAAAGGAAAATTTTTACAAAATCTGCCAACGAACAATCAAAACTTATCTTCTTAATTAACTAAATCCAAAAGATTTTTTTAATCCATGCAGAAACACGGTTTCACAAATAGGAAAAAATAATTCTGCCCTCTATTGGCGACTATTCGCGAACTAGACGCATGAGATAGAAAAGGACACAAATATAGCTCTGTCCTTTTCTAACCCTTGCTTTGCGTTCGCGAACACTTTAATTAATCGTTAATCGTAATTTAATTAAATTAAATTAATTAAAAAGATACGTTTTTATGGTTCGTTGACAGATTTTGTAAAAAGTTTTCTTTATTTTTGTAAAAAGGAGAGAAAAACTTACTCGAAAATGATTGTTTACCAATTTCATGTCATATAAACCGTTCAGTGCCGTTTTTGTAGAGGGCGACACAGATCGCACATAACCTAGAAATTGAAGAGACTATCGAACATTTTTAATTATTCCTTTTTTCCCCTGTGCTTAAAAGTAGCGATTCTTTTTCACTACAAATCCTATTAATAAAAATGAATCGTAAAGGTGCATTCATACGACTGTCGGTAGAAAAAAAACTTACCAAAAAATGTCAAAATCGCTTTCGCATCAAGCTGTAAAGGTGTTTCTGCAATAGCTTGAAAATTCATGTTTTGTCTGCTTCAAAGTAATTGCACATTTTGCATAAAGGCCAACGCAGAATAGATCTGTAACCGGAACCGCAATCGTAACCGTAAGCGTAAGAATGAGTTAGAGAAGGATAAACAATATACCTATCCTTCTTTAACTCATTCTTACGGTTACGCTTACGATTGCGGTTCCGGTTACAGATCTATTCTGCGTTGGCCTTAATATGCAGAATAAATTAATAAAATAATAAATTAACAAATGCACTTTAAATAATTAAATTTAAAGCAAATTATCGTAAATTTACATGCAGAATATGCAATTACTTTGAATTAGACAAAACAAATTCAAACTATTGTAGAAACACCTTTACAAACGCGTTTGAAGGCGATTTTGACACTTTTGGCAAATTTTCTTTTCCTACCGACAGTCGTTTAAATGCAGCATAAGAAATAAAAATGAGAAATTGAGAATGAAAAGAATAGAAATAACTTTAATTATTTTTTTTATCTACTGAGCTTTATCATTATGGTACTTCTACAAAAAATTTCTTTTCATAGGCCTAAGCACATTGAAAATCATAATACAATCGTCAACTTTACTTGAGAAAGAGAAGGAAAAAATTATCTTTTCCATTTCATGTAAAGTTTACATCTTGCAGTAATTTTCCACTGTTCAATATAGTTTTGTTTCAACATAGTTATTGCAGAAGTAGCCTTAAAAGTTCAACATAAGTTAATCTTTAGGTCTAAATACATTCAAATCAGTAAAATGTAAATCGAAAACCACACGTGAATTTGTGAACATGTCGATTTTACCTACTGGGATTAAAGGTCAAAAAGTAACCAACTCTTCATAGTTTAATGAACCAAATGTGAGGCGCTCCCAAGAAAGGTACCTAAACAGCAAGAAAATCTTAGGTTATGTTTATCATTTTTTGAGTAAAAAACAAAAAGAGAATCATTAATAATACAAATTATTGATATTCAAGTCTTCGTTAAATCCAAAATATTCAATAAAAACAGTTTTTCGTTATTCGTTTGCTTCTTGGGTCACTTTTTTGGAAGAGCGTCACAAATTCTATCAGTTTATATTTAAAGAATCTTATTTTCCATAAGAATAAATGAAAACGTTACTAATCTTCTCATTTATTCTTATGCTTATTTGAAATATAAATTCTAAATAAGTTTTAGGTACTTCCATTTTTTTTTACAAATTTTAACAAGAAAAAACCTCTTCGCAGGTTTATCCGCTCACCGCTCGTTTAATCTCAGACAAATTCTCCTTGAAATTTCAAAAGCTTTCCGAGTAACAACCAAAGAGTTTATTTTTAAATTCAACCAGAGACTTATTATAGATTTAATTCGTAATATTAATTTCAGCAAAGAAAAAAAAGTATAGCCTGAAATTGTGGTTAATAATTTGATAAGTCTCGAAAAATCAAAGAACTAAAAAACAAACTCGTCTCGAAGGCGTCCCGCATGTAAAAATTTTGTCATTAAAAAACAAATGCATAAGAATTTCAAATATGTCTTGCTTCGAAAAAAAAAATTGCTTTATACAAGAGTGTATATGTATATCTGTATATGTGGAAAATTATAAATTATCGAAAAATTAAATAAGTAAATAAGTGCCTATTCTCAAAGAAATGTCAGATTACCCAATAAAAAAAAATATTTATACGAAAGGAGTTTTTATTAATTTTTTATGTCGTAACAAAAATACCTTAATTCTTTATTTTTCAATAATAAATTAAATTCATACGGAGATACTTTTTTTCAGAAATATTATTTCAGCTACGATGACAAATTTACTCATCTTCAGATAGTCTATACAGAGAATTATTGTTTTTTTTTCAAATAGCGAAAAAAGAGAAAATTATTTTATTTCACTTGTCTATCTAATTTTCAACTAAATCGTATCACATTTATATGAAAAAAGAGTTTTTCGCAATTAGAAAATTTAATTATTAGTTAACTACTAGGTACTTAGTAATGATCCAAAAAGGAAAAATTCACATGTCTTTGAGCAGGTGAAGTTCACTCGTTGGATTATCATTATTTCATCATCATTGTGTGAAAATGATGAAAAAAATATTCTATTTAACAAAACATACCTTTTGCCTTACATAAGGTTTGTTCGTAAAATAATTTTATTTCAGGAAGTGCCAGGAGTTCCAACGAGTTCGGACATACCGTCTTTAATAATTTTCAAACACTCCACATCAGTATTTATCGTAGCTATCAACTGTTCCATGCCTTGTTGTTCCATACTTAGATACTGAAAAATAAATTTATTTATTAATTATTTAAATAAAGTAAATCAACTTTTTTCATATTGTCAGGGCTCGAACTGGGTTCGTAAATTTGCTTGAAGGCCGTAAAAGTAAGATTTTTTTAAAAAAGGTCCGCAAAGTACGTAATTTGATTGAGAAAATACGAAAAGTTTGTAAAGTGTACGATATAATTTGGAGAATTTTAGAGAAATTACAAATGATTGCAGAAATTCAATTATTTTCAAAAGTTATAAAATTCCTCGCAGAAATTCAATTACGTTCAAAAATTTTAAAAAAGTCTCGTCGAAATTTCAATTATCTTTAGCAATAATAAAATTCTTCTCCGAAATTCAATTATTTTCAATAATTAATCAAATTCTTGTTAAAATTGCAATTATTTTCAAAAATTTTCCTCAATTTAATGATTTTTAATATCTACTATTTTAATAAAATTTTCCAAAAGAATTCAATTATTTAAACAAAATTTAATAAAATTCTACGCAAACCTTTAATTGTTTTCATAAAATAAAAAAAATTTCACAGGAATTCAATTATTTACAAATTTTTTATATATATTTCTTCGCAATCATTTAATTATTTTCATAAATACTATAATTTTTACAGGGATTCAATTATGTTTGTAAATAAATAAATATTTATTTTGAAAATAAATAAATCCTTCTTAGGAATTCAATTATTTTCATAAATAATAAAACTCATCCCAGAATTTCAATTATTTTGAATACAATTTTAATTAAATTTCTCGAAAAATGTAATTATTCTTAAAAAGTTTGTTGATAAAGTTCTTTATGGAAAATGAATTTTTAAGAAACATTCAATTATTCAATAAATTATTTATTTTTGTATTTAAATAATTGAATTCCAGCTGGAAATTAAGTCTTCAATTTTCTATATATAATATATATTTAATATTGAAGAATTTACGAATAATTGAAATTTTGTAAAATTGAATTCTAAACAAATGAATTTGAAAATTCTCAAAGAACTTTTTCAAAAAATTTTTAAAACAATGCATTTAAAGAAGAATTTTACTTAAAAACAGGAAAAAAATTTAATTTTGGAAAAACAGGACCCGAATCGACTTTAACGAACAAAAAAAGTCGCTTTAGTCGATTGAAAATAGAAAAAAAAGTTGTTTATTTAATTTAGTGTTGTCACAAAAAATTTAATTTTGTATTTCCCTGATTCTTCACTGATTTATAAATTCAATTAATCAAAACTTGTATAATTTTCCTAAATATATATTTAAATACTTCTTATTTCTTTTCACGCAGGAAATAAAATTTTTAAAATTTCAACTTCTGAAATTTAATAATTTCTAAAAATTAAAACCCTACCAAAAATTCAATTATTTTCTACAATTTTTAACTAAACTTCATTTCTAAATCAATTATCTTGTTACTTTTTAATAATTTTCCGAAATATCTTCGAGAATTTAATTATTTAAATACAAAAATTGAATTTTTTATAATAATTGACACCGTTCATTTTTTTTTGTAAAGATATTAAGGTAGAATATTTTCAAAAATTTAAATAAACAAATTCGTAAAATTAACTTTTTAAAAATATTTCTAAATAATTTTTGAAGGACAATAGTGTTTTACAATTCCATACAATTAAAAAAATGGCCAAAAATTGAAATTTGATAAAATCTTTTAAAAAATAATTTAAATTTAGTAAAGTCTTTGAAAAATAATTGAAATTTTATAAAAATTTTATAAAATAATTGAGTTTTTAAAAAATATAAAAAAATAATCAAATTTTTAAAGAATTTTAATTATAAATAATTTCTCAAAAACTCTAAAATAGTAAATTTTTAAAAATTTTATTTTACTTTGTCCGAAGGTAATTGAATCTTAAAAAATTATGATAAAACAATTCTAAGAATTAGTTTTTTATAAATATTGTAATGTAATTTTTGGAAAACAAATGAAGAATTTTTGTATAATTTAAAAAAAACTAATTTTTTGAAGAATCTTAATTAAAAATTTTGAATATGATTATTTTCTCCAAAATGTTAAAAATAATTATAAAAAATTTTAATGTTATTATTTTGTATAGTAGATATTTGAATTTTTGGAAATATTGAAAATATTGAATATCAAAAATATTGAAAATAATTGAATTTTAAAAAATTAGAACAAAACAATTCAGAGAATTATTTTTTTCAAAACTATTTTAATATTATTTTAAGAACCTAATTTTCATTAATTTTCATTTTTATTGAATTTACACTTGAAGATTATTCATTAAAATTTTTTGAAAATTCAATTAATTCCAAAATTTTCAATTAAAATTCTATAAAAGTTAATTTTTAAAAATTATAATAAAATACTTGAAAAAATGATTTATTTGCAATTAAATTTTACAAAATTTCAATTATTTAAAATTTATTTAATTGTATATTTCCAAAATTTAATTAGAAAAATTACTCAAAAATAAATTTTCAAAGATTTTTCTATAGTTCTGCTTTTTTCACTGGTAAAAATCGAAAAAAGTTGCATTTTATACTAAAAATATGGTATTTTGTCGCAAAATTTGAAAGAAAAGTCGAAAAAGTTGCAATTTTTTAATAAAAGTCGATGAAAGTCGCATTATTTGAAAATAGTCGAAAAAAGTCGAAAAAGTCATAATATCCGAGGCCTGGAAAAGTTGCAAATTATTGCAGAAATTCAATTATTTTCAAGAATAATATTCTTTGCAAAAATTAAATATTGTTCAAAAATAATAAAATTCTTTTTAGGGATTCAATTATTTTCAGAAATAATAAAACTTAACTCAGAATTTAAATTATTTTTAATACAATCTTAATTGAATTCTTCAAATGAATTCAATTATTCTTAAAAATTTTATTAAAATTCGTCGATAGAATTCAATTATTTAAAAATATGTTGATAACATTCTTTATCAGAATTCAATTTTAAGAAACATTCAATTATTGAACAAATTATTTATTTTTGTATTTAAATTATTTAATTCTAGTAGAATTTTCTAATAGAAATTGATTTAAAAATGAATTTCAGTTAAAATTTTAGATATTAATTGAATATTAAAAGCAATGAAGCGTGAATTTTTGGAAATAATTGAATTTTGAAATTAATTTTTTCGAAAAAGTTTAATTGAATTTTTTTTATAGTATTTGAAGTTTTTATTTGAAGAATAAAAGAATTGAAGAATTTACGAATAATTGAAATTTCGTAAAATTGAATATTGTAAAGAAATGGATTTGAAAATTGTCAAAGAACTTTTTCGAAAATTACGAGAAAATTATTAAAAATAATTGATTTAAAGAGGAATTTTAGTTAAACATTCTTGAAAATAATAATTGAATTGATAATGATTTTATTTTTCGATTATCTTTAATTACTATAAAAACATGAAGAAATCGATCACTCCGAGTCGAAGACTCGGAGTTATCAATTTTTTCATGTTTTATAGTTATGAAAAATTTAATTTGTTTTAAGTAAAATGTTCTCTTATTTGACTCAGACTGGTTATATTTTCAGTCAGTAATTGGTCCGTAATTTTTTATTTTTGGTTCGTAATGTCTGTATTTTTAAATACTTTCACTGGTTCGAGTCCTGTATTGTAGATAAGTTTTAGAAGTTTAAAATTTTCAAGTTTAAAATTTGAAAAGTTAAATGATTTATAAGACTTACAGTTTTAATATCATCTTGAGCAATAGGATCCATAGCGTATCGTTCCTGCGTTTGAGAGTCAACATGCCTTCTCATTCTCAATTGTGATAACATTTCACTGATTCTTCCTTTAAATTGCGTAGGAGCACTAATTTGAGAGTGCATTGATTCAAATCTGTTGGTTAAAACTTCTTCTTCAGGTTGCAAGGAGAGACCAACTTTTCTAGTTATTTCTTGTCGCACCAACACCTTAAAAAACAAAAATACAACAATTTAGCTAATAATCCTTATAATATACATAAAATTAAATACTTGGACTTACGCCTCTAAAAATGATTATATATATATAGATACACAAAAAAATACTTATAAAATATTTAATTGAGAATATATCTTAAATTGAAAAGTTATTCAAAACATAATTTTGTTAGTAATAATTATGTAAGTATCTAAAATATTTAATCATTAATATTTTTCTACAGGAATTCAAATACCCAAAAATTTCAACTTAAAATTTAAAATCTTCCGAAATTTAATTGTATATAAAAATTGCAATAACTGTTCCCAGATTCAATTATTTTTAGAAATTACAAAGTTCTTCGAGAATTAAATGATTTGAACTAAAGAATAAATTGAATTGCATACTCTTAAAAATTCAAGATTTCGTCTTAAAATTCATGGTGATTGCAAAGTTTTTATATTTAAAAAAAAGTGAAAAAAATGAAATGCTTTATTAATAATTTTAAGTAAACATAAGTGGACACTAAAAACCAGTATTTTCTTGCCAACTATAGAAATTCGATTTTTCTTTCAGCACTTTTGATAAAATTCCCTCACTTATCTCTGATTTCTCTGACCTGTGTCAACCCGGAATTAATACAGACTATATTTATTATTATTTTGTTACACTACAGCTTCAATTTACGTTTGTCAAGAAATTTCTAAGTGTTTATTTTCATTAGAAAAAATTTATTTTTTATTTTTTTAAACCGAGACTGGTATTGAAACAAAATTTAAAGTTTAAACTATTAAATGTTTTAAACAATATAATTTGTTAATATTTGTATTTTTGTGTCACTGAAAGATAGTTATTTCTTTCTTTTTTGAAAATTTACACCCTACTTTAAACTACTGTTAATCATTGAAATCAAAACTTTAATTTTTATTTTCTTCACAATAACCATAAATTTTGGAATTACATATTCACGTTGTTTTATTAATGTATAAAAATTTTATTACTAAATTTAACTTTGTCAATTTAAATTAATCTAATCTAATCAAATTTCCGTATAGATTTAAATTTCCCTCGAACCAAATTTTAAAATTAAGGCTTTATCTGTTGATAAAAAATTACAATATGTACATTAATTATTTTTTAACTTAATTTGTTTATTCTAGTATTTTTAGCACCTTCTTCAAAAAATAATTTATCTCTTAATTTATAAACAATGAAAAAAGATATTGATGTAATTTTTGCACAATTCAAAAGAAAAATTTTCAAAATAAAATTTTGTAAAATACATTTTTTAATAATACCTATCAGTCGTATAGATTTTTAAAAATTAAATTAAAAAAAAAATAAAATTTCGAAAATGGTTAACAATAATTTTGTTTATAATTTAATAATAAAGAATAATTTAATAATAAAGAATGAATTTTGATCCTAAATAATGTTAAAAAAAAATTGCAACAAAAATTTAATCATTCTTATTTTTTCATAGGAATTAAGATTTTAAAAAATTTCAAATTCAAACGTTTTTAAAATTCAACAAATTATAATAATTAAAGATGACAGAGTGATAAAATTATTTTATATTATAAAAATATTGTTACTGTAACTTCTTCAAAATTATTTATATCATTTCAATTCAATTACCTACTATTTTCTACAATTTTTAACTAAAACCAGATTGAATTCTCGGGAAGGTTTGAAGTTTCTAATAAAAATTGATTTAAAAATGAATTTCACTTAGAATTTTAAATTATAATTGAATATTAAAAACATTATAGCGTGAATTTTTAGAAATAATTGAATTTTGAAAAGGGTTAAAATTAAAATCTTTGAAAATTTGAATTTTTAGTTACAATATTCTTATGAAATAAAATAATGATTTTATTACTTTGTCATCTTAAATTTATTATAAAACAGGAGGAAATCGAGTCGAAGACTCGGAGTGATCGATTTCTTTATGTTTTATTATAATATATTCTCATAAGTTATTGAATTTGAGAATCTTAATTCCTATAGGAAAATAATTATTAAATATTTATTCAAAAAAGAAGTTATTAATGTTCTTCAGGGTCAGGGAAAAAGTGAAAATTTTTTCTGGAAATCAGGGAAAAGTCAGGGAAAAACAAAATTAAAATTTTGTGGCAACCCTGACATCAAATTATTTGATGCGTAAAAATCGTTTAAAAAAATTTTAATTTTGCAAAATCAGGGTGGCCACAAGTTGCAGTTTAACAATTTCCCCGACATTTCCCTGACAATTTACTGACATTAAATTTACTTTCCCTGACAAAATTCTTTTTACAGGAAAATATGAATGTTTATGAAAAATGGGTAAAATTTATGAATTTTAAAATAATTTTAAAATAATTTCTAAAAATTACAATTATAACCCTTCCTGAATTAAATTATTTTTTACAATTTTAAACGAAACTTCATCTCTGAATCAATTAATTTAAATAATTTCCCAAAAGTTCTTCTGGAATTCAATTATTTAAATACAAAAACTCAATTTTTTATAATAATTGTAATTTGGTATATAAATATAATTTTTCAATTTTGAAAAATTTCCAAACAATTACAATTTGGCAAAATCTTTTAAAAATAATTGAATTTTTGAAAAATATACATAAGTAAGTCCAAAAAGTAAATTTTCATAAATTTTTATTTACATTGTTCGAAGATAATTGAATCTTAAAAAATTATTATAAAACAAATCTAATAATTAGTTTTTAAAAATATTTTAATGTAATTTTTAGAAAATAATTGAATTTCTTAAAAAAAATTTTGTATAATTTAAAAAAAATTATTTTTTTTTTGAATTTTAATTAAAAATTTTGAACTTCATTGTTTTCTTCAAAATGTTAAAAAGAATTCTAAAATGTTATTATTTTTGTATGTATTTGAATTTTTGTAAATATGTAATTGAAAATACTGAAAATATTGTATTTTAAAAAATTAGAAGCTAATTTTCATTAATTTTCATTTTTAAATTTACCTTTAAAGATTTTTCATTAAAATTTTTGATATTTCAATTATTTTCAAAATTTGCAATTCAAATTCTTCAAAAATTGATTTTCAAAAATTGTATTAAAACTTGTTGTATTTTGTTGCAATGTTTGGAAGAAAAGTCGAAAAAGTCGCAATATTTAAAAATAAGTCAAAAAAATTCTCAATTTTCTTAATTTCCCTGACAAAAATTTGTTTTACTGACATTTCCCTGACTTTACTGACTCTACTGACATGAGGCCACTCTGAAAATTAATTTTGGGGTTATATTTTTGTACGAAAATACAATAAAATTATTGATATGAAATATAAAAATATCTCCATCGAAAAATTAGTGGCACGCTTCAGAAATTTTGAGCCTTTAACGAATTAAGATAGAATTCTTTTTGAAAATACCTGTAATACTCTGTGCTGAAGTTCCAAAAGTGTTCGTCGATGGTCTTTTAGTTTTGCCTGCGTCGCTGTGTGTTGCCTCTGCAATTCCTGTATTCTCTCCGCTGCCATATCAAGAAAAGCCCTATGCCTAGCGGTTTCCTCTTCTTGACACTTTAACCTGTGTTTCACTTGATGAAATCCTATCATTGGCACGGGTATGTATAAATCTGGATTAGGATTATCCAACTGTGCCTGTTTCCACAAGCGCGGATCTATCGAGCACGGTGGATTTTCGAGATATTCCTTTAACTGCGTAGGATCAAGTTTCACGAAAGGATAAATATTTTCTACCCCCTTTTGAACGAGCTGTTGTTTTTGCATTGTCTGAGTGAAATAAGTAAACAATTCATTGGCGGGAATTTTTCTCGACGTACCAGTGACTCCCTTTTCGGAGACGAAAACTGTTGATTGACATTTATTCTCACCGGTTGATTTTATTGAATCAATGGTGACAGTGAGATTTGGTTTGTTGCCTAATATTGTATTTAAAGAGGCAATCAAATTTTGTTTTCCCTCTTTTATTTCTTGTTCCTTTTTGTTGAAGCAGAGAACAACGAGGCCCTCATTATTATCTGCATCTGGCATTCGACTGTAGCCAATTGCTTTGAATCTGCACAATGGATTCTCTTGATTCAGTTCTATTGGTGCTGCATTTACGGAATAATAAGCTTTTCCCGTTCCCCACAATGCTTGTATTAAATTCCACCTTGCGATTGTACTATCACGTTCATCATTAAATAATTGACAATTAAAGACTGCATTGTAAAGTGCTTCTGAAATTGTATTTGCACTTTGCTGTTGTTGTTGTTGTTGTTGTAGTTGCTGCTGCTGCAGTTGTGTTTGTTGTTGTGGTTGAGCCAGACTTCCGCCAAAGCCCATAAAACTTGTACCTAGAAATTTTTTTTAAATTTGTTAAACTTGTTAAATTTGTTAAATTTGTCCGTCAAGTTCACAACGTTTAGGATCAACGATTGAAAAAAAAAAGATATTTTTCATGACAAAAACAATAAAATGTTATGTTCACAATTTACAAATTACTCTGTTAAAGGCCTCGGATCGACTTTAACGAGCAAAAAAAGTCGCTTTAGTCGATTAAAAATAGAAAAAAAGTCGTTTATTTAATTTAGTGTTGTCACAAAAATTTTATTTTGTATTTCCCTGATTCTTCACTGATTTCTAAATTCACTTAATCAAAACTTGAATAATTTTGCTAAATAAATATTTAAATACTTCGTATTTAAGTCACGGGAAGAAATAAATAATTAAAATTCTAAATATAAATAAATAATTAAATTTCATCACGGGAAATAAAATTCAAAAAATTTCAACTTCTGAAGTTTAATAATTTCTAAAAATTACAACTTTAACTCTTCCAAACTTTAATTACTTTCTACAATTTTTAACTAAACTTCACCTCTCAATCAATTATCTATATATATATATTAATTTTTAATAATATTTCGAAAGTTCTTCGAGAATTCAATTATTTAAATACAAGAATTCAATTTTTTATAATAATTGAAAATGTACATTTTTCCTTTTAAATTTATAAAGGAAGAATATTTTCAAAGATTTCAATAAAGAAATTCTTAAAGTTAATTTATTATTAAAAATATTTTAAAATAATTTTTGAAAGACAATTACAATTACAATTACAATTACAATTTTAAAAAATGTTTAAAAAATTGATATTTGATAAAATCTTTTCAAAATAATTGAAATTTGGTAAAAACTTTGACAAGTAATTAAAACTTGGTAAAATCTTTGAAATATAATTGAAATTTGATAAAATCTTTGAAAAATAATAGAAATTTGGTAAAATCTTTAAAAAATAATTGAAATTTGGTTAAATCTTTGAAAAATAATTGAAATTTGATAAAATCTTTGAAAAATAATTGAATTTTGGTAAAATCTTTAAAAAATAATTGAAATTTAATAAAATCCTTGAAAAACAATTGAAATTTGGTAAAATCTTTGAAAAATAATTAAAATTTGATAAAATCTTTGAAAAATAATTAAAATTTGGTAAAATGTTTGAAAAATAATTGAAATTTGATAAAATTTTTTAAAAGTAATTGAAATTTGGTAAAATCTTTGAAAAATAATTGAAATTTGATAAAATCTTTTTAAAATAATTGAAATTTGGTAAAATCTTTGAAATATAATTAAAACTTGGTAAAATCTTTTATGAATAGTTGGAATTTGGTAAAATCTTTGAAAAATAATTGAAATATGGTCAAATCTTTGAAAAATAATTGAAATTTGATAAAACCTTTGAAAAATAATTGATTTTTTTAAAAACATTTTATTTATTTTCAAATATTCTTTTTTCTCCAAAATGTTAAAAATAGTTCTAAAAAATTTTGATGTTATTATTTTTTGTATGTATTTGAATTTTTGGAAATTTGTATTTAAAAATATTGAAAATAATTTAATTTTAAAAAAAGTAGAATGCAAAAATTCGAAGAATTATTTTCTTCAAAAATATTTTTTAATATAATTTTTAGAATTGCAAATTTTTAAAAATTTGCAATTAACATTCTTTAAAAGTTGATTTTCAAAAATTTTTATAAAAGACTTTGAAAAAAATTAATTATTTTTAATTAAATTTTGAAAATTTATAAAAATAGTTGAATTGATTCGAAGAAATTATTATAATTTTAGGAAATAATTGAATTTTATGGAAATATTTGACTTCTTCCAAAAAATTCAATTAAAGATGTTTTGAAAATAATTGAATTCCTGCAAAGAATTTTACTATTTATAAAAATAATTGAATTATTTCGAAGGATTTATTAAGAATTTAGAAAATAATTGAATTTATTCGAAATATATTAAATTTTTTTTTAGAAATTGAATTCTTTCGAGGAATTCAATTAAAATTTAATTCAATTTCAATTATTTTCAAAATTTGCAATTAAAATTCTTCAAAAGTTGAGTTTCAAAAATTTTTATAACTAACACTTTGAAAAAAATTAATTATTTTCAATTAAATTTTACAAAATTTCAATTATTGGAACTTTTTTTAATTGTAAATTTCGAAAATTTAATTCGAAAAATTATTAGTAAATAATAAGTTGCATTTTATACTAAAAATTATTGCAATATTTGGAAGAAAAGTCGAAAAAGTGGTAATTTTTTTAAATAAGTCGAAAAAAGTCGCATTTTTTGAAAATAGTCTGAAAAAGTCGAAAAAGTTATAATATCCAAGGCCTGTAATTGGTAGGAGGAGAAACATTCTCACCGGTACCAAAACCACCAAATCCTGTAGCAGTGGTGGTCGCGGGTTTAGCGCCAAATCCACCGAATCCAGTGGAAGTTCCAAAACCAGTGGCGGCTGTGTTCGTTGCACCAAAACCTCCAAATAAACTTGGTGCTGCTGCTGTTGTTGTGGCTGTTGTTCCGAAACCTCCAAAACTTCCAAAACCGCCGATGGTGCTCGTCGTGGCTGGAGTAGAAAGAGCAGCGAAACCCGTTGATGTGGCTGGCGTTGCTCCAAATGGTGTTGCCGCCGCTGCTGGTGCTGGTGCTCCAAATCCAAAACTCGTCAACGGTGTGCTAAATGTGTTGGTGGTCGTTGTCGTTGATCCAAAAGCAGTTGCCGCAGGAGTTCCGAAACCAGCTGCAGTTCCAAAACCCGTAGGCTGAGGAGCTGGTGTTCCAAATAATGAGGGATTAGCTGCCGCCGGGGTGCTGGTGCCGAATCCAAAGGACGGCGTTCCAAAGCCGGCTGTAATTGGAAAACAAAATCAATTCAAATTAGCGACTTAATTATCTTTCACTGCAGGTCTCGAACCAGTGAAAGTATTTAAAAATACGGACACTACGGACCATTTATAAACCAATCGGACAAAAATATTATCAGTTCGAGTCAAATAAAAGAATATTTTATTTCAAACTATAAATTCAATTTTTCATATTACTATGAAACATGAAGATGACCGAGTGATAAAATCATCAATTCAATTATTATTTTCAAGAATGTTTAACTAAAATTCCTCTTTAAATCAATTATTTTTAATAATTTTCGAAAAAGTTCTTTGACAATTTTCAAATCCATTTGATTACAATATTCAATTTTGCAAAATTTCAATTATTCGTAAATTTTTCAATTCTTTTATTCTTCAAATAAAAATTTAAAATAATATTTAAAAAATTCAATTAAACTTTTTCAAAAACATTAATTTCAAAATTCAATTATTTCTAAAAATTTACGCTACATTGCTTTTAATATTCAATTATTATCTAAAAATTTAACATGAAATTCAATTTTAAATCAATTTTTAATAGAAAATTCTATTTGAATTCAATTATTTAAATACAAAAATAAATAAGTTGTTGAATAATTGAATGTTTTTTAAAATTCAATTCCCATAAAGAATTTTATCAACATATTTTTAAATAATTGAATTCTTTCAATTCTTTCAAATTTTATTAAAATTCGTCGTTTTAATAAAATTTTTAAGAATAATTGAATTCATTTAAAGAATTCGATTAAAATTGAATAAAAAATAATTGAAATTCTGCGATGAGTTTTATTATTATTTGTGAAAATAATTGAATCCCTATGAAGAATTTTATTTTTGAACAATATTTAATTTTTGCGAAATAATTGAAAAAAAATAATTGAATTTCTGCAATACATAATTTGTAACTTTTCCAAAATTAAATTTTTTTCTTTTGTTTGTAACTAAAATGCTTCTATAAATGCATTATTTTTAATAATTTATAAAAACGATCTTTGAGAATTTTCATTTGTTTATAATTCAACTTTACAAAATTTCAATTATTCGTAAATTTTTCTTCAAAAAAATTAATTCCACAGAATTGTTAGTTAAAAATCTGAAAAATTCAGATTTGCAAAGATTTTAATCTGAAACATCCATTTTGAAATCTATTTTTATTAGAAAATTCTAATAGAATTCAATTCTTTAAATACCTATAAAAAAACAATTTATTGAATAATTGCGTGTTTCTTAAAATTAAATTCTCATAAAGAATTTTATTAATAAATTTTTAAAAAATTAAATTCTTTTATTTTATTATTTACGAAAATAATTAAATTTCTGAGAGGAATTTTATTATTTTCGAAAATAATTGAATCCCTGTAAAAATTTTATTATTTATGAAAATAATTGAATGATTGCGAAGAAATTTAAAAAAAAAATTGTATAATAATTGAATTTCTGTGAAATTTTTATTATTTTATGAAAATAATTGAATTTCGGAGAAGAATTTCATTATTTATAAAGATAATTGAAATCTTTATGAGAATTTTGAAAAATTTTTGTACATAATTGACATTTTGATAAGAATTTTATTAAAATTTTTGAAAATAATTGAAATTCGAGGAAGAATTTTATTATTTTTAAAGACAGTTGTAATTTAGACTAAAATTTTAAAAATCTTTTAAAATAATTAAAATTTTGACGAGTTTTAAAAATTTTTTTGAAAATACTTGAAATTTAGAAAAGAATTTTATTAAAATTTTTGAAAATAATTGAAATTTTGACAAGAATTTTATTAAATTTTGAAAATAATTTAATTTCGGAGTAAAATTTTATTATTTATAAAAATAATTGAAATTTTGATGAGAATTTTTAAAAATTTTTGTACATAATTGACATTTTGATAAGAATTTTATTAAAATTTTTGAAAATAATTGAAATTCGAGGAAGAATTTAATTATTTTTACAGACAGTTGTAATTTAGACTAAAATTTTTAAAATCTTGTAAAATAATTGAAATTTTGACGAGTTTTAAAAAATTTTTGAAAATACTTGAAATTTTGACAAGAATTTTATTAAAATTTTTGAAAATAATTGAAATTTAGAGAAGAATTTTATTATTTATAAAGATAATTCTGCGATGAGTTTTATTATTTATGAAAATAATTGAATGATTGCGAAGAAATTTATAAAAAAATTTGTAAATATTTGAATTTCTGTGAAATTTTTATTATTTTATGAAAATAATTAAAAGTTTGCGTAGAATTTTATTAAATTTTTTTTTTTAAATAATTGAATCCTTATGGACAATTTTATTAAAATAGTAGATATTAAAAATCATTGAATTGAAAATAATTTTTGAAAATAATTGAATTTTGGAGAAGATTTTTATTATTTCTAAAGATAATTGAAATTTCGACGAGACTTTTTAAAAAATTTTGAACGTAATTGAATTTCTGCGAAGAATTTTATAATATTTGAAAATAATTTAATTTTATAATTATTTGTAATTTCTCTAAAATTCTCTAATTTATATCGTACAATTTACGAACTTTTCGTCTTTTCTGAATCAAATTACGGATTTTACGAACCTTTTTTGAAAAATTCTGACTCTTACGGGAAAAATTTGACAAAGCAAAATTTTGATACAAAAAATATATATCTTTCAAAAATAAAAAAATATAATTTCATAAATATTTGTAGAAGGAAAAAAATATTCAATTGATAAAAAAATAATAAAGTTCATAACAATAAAAAAAGGAGCGAATTTACATGAATTGACAGTTTTTTGTCATTTGTAAAAAAAACTTTTTATATGTCAATAATATATTTAACCTAAAAGTTTTTTAAGTCCTATTGAATTTTCTTTTGATAAACTTTTTTTAACCACCTTTCCGATTATTTAAAAATAATTTCGATCCATATTTTATTGTATTGAAGAAAATTTCAAACATGAAGAGTTTGTATCTTTTATATTTCTAACTGAACCGAAAAAATGTAAGAATGCCCATTTTAAGTGAAAATACAAACCACAAGGTTACTGGCAAACTTAACATTGATATATTATCAAACTTATGAAATATTCCAATTTTTATTTCACTTCTTTAATAAAATAAATTACAAATCTAGTACATTTTAGTTTCGACATTATGGAAAGAATAGAAAACATCGACAAAAAGTTAAAATATTAAATAAAAAAAGACTAATTCATCGTCGAGGAGATTTAGAAGAACAAGTTGGAACAGAATTATCAAACGATATTGGAACTACGGAACGAGTTATAGAGGTAAAATTAAAATTTTTACTATTAAAAAAGAACTGAAGTTAAGGATAATGAAGGGTTGTCACAGAAATTCAATTTTGTTTTTTTCTGACTTTTCCCTGATTTTCAGACAAAATTTTGACTTTATTCCTGACCCTAATGAATATTCTGATACACTCTCAAAATGATTAGATACTCAAAAAAATGTTTTATTAGTTCTAATAGGTCTTTGAGAATTTTTAAATCCATTTCTTTACAATTCAATTTTACAAAATTTCAATTATTCAGAAATTTTTCAATATTAAATATATATTAGAAAATAAAAATTTCAAATAATTTTAAAAAAAATTTATTCTACAGAATTGTTAGTTAAAAGTATGAAATATTCCGATTTTCAAAGATTTTAATTTAAAACCTTTTCAAAATTCAATTATTTCTAAAAATTGCAATTATTAGAAACCTCTCCAAAAATTCAATTAATATCTAAAACTTCGATTGTAATTAATTTTTAAATCAATTTTTATTATAAAATTTTATGAAAATTCAATTATTTATTAATAAAATACCTACAATATTAAATACAAAAATAAATAATTCATTGAGTAATTGAATGTTTCTTAAAATTGAATTCTCATTAAGAATTAGAATTTTATCAACAAATTTTTAAATAATTGAAGTTTGGAGAAGAATTTTAATATTTATAAAGATAATTGAAATCTTGATGAATTTTGAAGTCAAATTCTTCTTTAAATCAATTATTTTTTAATAATTTTTGAAAAAGTTCTTTAAGAATATTCAAATCCATTTGTTTACAATTCAATTTTACGAAATTTCGATTATTCTGGAATTCTTCAATTAAATATATGTATATTAGAAAATAAAAAATTCATATAATATAAAAACAAATTCCATTAAAATTTTTCAAAAAAATTAATTCTACAGAATTTTCAGTTACAAATATGAAAAATTCAAATTTTCAAAGATTTTAACTTGAAAACCTTTCAAAATTCAATTATTTTTAAAAATTCAAGTTCTATTTCTTTCAATATTCAATTATAATCTAAAATTTTAACTAAAATTCATTTTTAAATCAATTTTCATTAGGAAATTCTACCAGAATTGAATTATTTAAATACAAAAATAAATAATTTATTTAATACTTTAATGTTTATTAAAATTGAATTCTCATAAAGAATTGTATCAATAAATTTTTAAATACTTGAATTCTTTTGATGAATTTTACTACAAAATTTGAAGAATAATTACAGTTTTCGAGGAATTTACTATTTATGAAAATAATTGAATTATTGCGAAGAAATTCATAAAAAAATTTGTAAATAATTGAATTCCTGTGAAATTTTTATTATTTAAATGGAAATAATTCACAAAAAATTCTTATAGTTTCATTCAAATTTGTTTTATACAATTGAATTCTTTTGGAAAATTTTATTAAAATAGAAGACATTAAAATTGATTGAATTTGAGGAAAATTTTTGAAAATAATCGAAATTTTGCCAAAAATTTTATTAAAATTTTTGAAAATAATTAAATTTTGGAGAAGAATTTTATTATTTTTAAAGATAATTGCAATTTTGAACAGAATTAAAAAAAATTTTTTAACATAATTGAATTTTTGTAATAATTTATATCTTCTCCAAAATTCAATTTTTAATTTGTTTTTAACTAAAATTCTTCTATAAATCCATTATTTTTAATAATTAATTAAATATATTATATTAAAGAATTTAACTACATTTAGAACAATTGGAATTATTCAAATTTTTTAAAAATCTAAATTCTTTATAATTTCTAATAAAATTCACTCAAAATTGAAATTTTCTAAAATTTCAAATTGAAACCGTTTGAAGTTCATCTATTTATGAAAATTGTAAACGTAACACTTAAAATTCAATTAAGTTGGAAATATCTTGGTAAAATAATCCATTAAACAATTTATAAATAATAATTTTATGATAGTTCTTCAAGAATTAAGTTCATTAAAAAGAAATTTTTGCCAGAAATTGAAAAAATTGAAGGTTTTGTATTAAAATTCGTGGTAATTTCATAGTTTGTGAGGCCAACAAAAAAGACACAAAAATTCAAAATTTTCTTATGAATTCCACTGTGGCAATCCTGATATGATTAATTTTTGTGAAAATTCCTTCCAGGACGTTTCAATTGAAGAAATGATAACAACTGCTGGTAAAATACCAAACGTAATGTACGAAATAGAAAATACACCTTCTGGAAAAATAATAGAATTAGATGAAAGTTTGCCTTCAGGAAAGGAACGTTTGTCATCGAGAGGCATTCAAATTAATAATGTATCAACACAGCCATCTCTACTTTTAATTATATTAATTACCACTGGAAGCTTAATAATCTTAATTTGTATGATTACGTGTATAATTGCAAAAGTGAAAAAGAAAAATTATAAGACACTGAGCAAAAAAGATGTTGAATGTTGTACAGTAAATCGTCCTCTACTGAGTATGTGTGAGGAAAAAGGTTCTTCTAGTTCTGCCTGTTGTCAAAATTAAAGAATCCATAGAATTAAAAGTGCTAATTTACAGTCAATCGAATAAGCAATAAAAAGTACATATTTAGAAAAGCAATTGGAGCCATTTATTTACAATCGTTAAAATAGTAACATACACGTGTTAAATTTACATAGAGACAACTACAAATTCTAATTTTAAAATCGAATCCAAGACCTTCTCATTTTTTATGAATTATGAGAATGTAAAAAATGAAAATTTGTTTGAATTTACATCGTAAGTATTTATTATTCTATCAGTAATCCAAGATTTATTTGAAATCTTTGAAATTTTACGTAGTGTTTTAAAAAAAGTAAATATATGAATATCTGGGTATCTAAATAGTAAATTTGAAAAAAAGAATAATGAAATGTTATTCTAATGTTAATTTACTTGATGAATGGACATAGGGAATAAAGTGATAATTGTTTACGAAAGTAGGTAAAAGCGAACAATGTTGTTATAACCTAAAAATTGATGGTACTTGATATTTACCTGGTTTTACAGTCGGTGTGGCAGTAGCGGTTTGCCCGAAAGTAAACGAAGGCGCTGAAGCCGGCGTGGAAGTACCAAATCCTCCACCAAATGACATTTTTTATATTTATTATGACACAATAATTAACGAAAAACCACACTTGCACTTTTCCCGCCTACGTTAAAGAATGTAGGAGATAACCCTCGAGAATTAAGTTTACATACAACTACATTGGCAACAACTTATCGCGACACATATTTTTCATGTGTAAGTGGCGATTGTAGCGCCTCATTCGATGGTGAAAGGAACTATCGGAAGCAGGGTTTGGTAGGAATACGTATCTTACGTAAAACACGGAATTCAGCGAACATCTCCATCTCTCTCACACTTATGGCCTAGTTACAAAAACGCAACGCAACACGCAGCCATGTGAATTCAGCTTTAGGGTTAGGGTGCAGTCACATCATGACAATAATAGCGCACCACTAAACGTTTTAAACACGAGTGACTAAACCCTGATCCTGAATGCATCAAACAGGAAAAAGCATGATCCAAGTAACAAGGTCTCGCCAAAGTCGGGCTCAATTTTAACTCGGTTCGCGCACCATAAAAAAGCCGACCAATCATAGCGATTACCTGAAGCGACGACCATATTGAAGCGCTAAATTTTGAATCAAATACAGAAACAAATTTAAAGAACATAAAGAATAATAAATTAAAAGTAAAATAATTCTTTATTAAATATTAATATTTTTTATTAAATACTTATTATTAACTTGATACATAACATTCACATATATTGGTTGCTTGGAATCTTGAAAATCAAATTACTATTTATTGCAATATTTATTATTATTATTATTAATAACTTTATATTTATTAATATTAACAATAATTAAAAATAATAATTATTATTAAAAATAAAATAACATTCATAATAATTTATTAATATTAATTACTATTTATTGTAATATTTATTATTATTATTATCAATAATTTTATACGTATTAATATTAATAATAACAATTAATAATATTTATTATTAAAAATAAAAATATATTAATAACAATAACAATCTTATTTTCTGGATTTGAAACACATTTAAAAATACGCGGCTAGACTTTCAATATGGTCGTCACTTCGTCCGCATTCTGATTGGTGCTTGGTTCCACGTTTTTTTTGCCTGCGCGTGGCGAGACCTTGTTACTTGGATCATGGGAAAAAGGCTGCTGGCAGATTTGCGTTTCCTGCACTCGTTAACAATTTTAGTATTTTTAAAATATTAAAAATTAGGATGCACGAGAATAATAAAAAGGTATGCATTAATTATTTATATAAAATTATAAAGATTTTATCTATCAAACATTCAAATTAAGGTCTTTTTTATTATCAAAAAGCAAGAATAAACTAATATAAGAATTTTGTGGATCACGTTGACAACGTGGTCGGATGGTCGTTAAACACGTCAACTTAACCTAAAAGAATTTTGAAAATTAATTTTCATCTTTTTATGGTATAATTACTAATATTTGAAAGCTTAATAATGTAATTAAATTATTCCATGAGCAACGTTTTTTTTATTTTCAATATCTACTATTTTAATAAAATTTTCTAAAAGAATTCAATTATTTAAAAAAATTTTTTGATAAAATTCTACGTAAAATTTAAATTATTTTCATAAATAATAAAAATTTTACAAGAATTCAATTATATTTACAAGTTTTTTTTATAAATTTTTTTCAATTATTTTGATAAATAATAAAAATCATCGTATAATTTCAATTATTACTTCCTCATAGAGGAAATATTTTTAATACAATTTTAATCGAATTCCTCGAAAAATGTAATTATTCTTAAAGATTTTATTAAAATTCGTCAAAAGAATTCAATTATTTAAAAATGTATTAATAAAAGTCTTTATGTTAATTAAATTTTAAGAAACATTTAATTATTTTAATAATTAAAAAAAACTATTTGGATTTTTTGGCCTAAACTATGAAACGATAATATATATTTATTGAGATCGAAAAACTTAACTATTAACAAATTTAATTATTTAATAAACCAAATCAATTATTTAAAAACAATTTTAATAAAATTCTACTCAAACATTTAATTATTTTTATAAATAAATAAAAATTTCACAGGAATTAAATTATTTACAAATCTTTTATAAAATTCTTTTATCAATAATTCAATTATTTTCAATAAAATTTCACGAAAACATTTAATTTTTTTTCTTAATTCGTTATAAAATTTTTGAAAAGAATTTAATAAATTTTCTAAAATTTTATTCAATTATTTCCTAAAATTTTAATAAATTCTTCAAAACAATTAAACTATTTTTATAAATTCTATAAATTCTTTACAGAAATTCAATTATTTTCGAAACAATTTTAATTGAATTTTATGAAAGAATTTAATTATTTTCAAATATTTCTATAAAATACTTTAAAACAATTCAATTATTTCCTAAAATTTTAATAAATTCTTCTATGCATTTCAATTATTTTTATAAAATAGTAAAATTCTTTTTAATATGTAAGTCAATTATTTTTATAAATAGTAAAATTCTTTGCAGAAATTCAATTCTTTTCAAAACAATTTTAATATAATACCTCGAAATAATTAAATTATTTAAAAATTTGAATCTTTGTAAGAATTCAATTTTAAAAAAATCAATTATTCAATAAATAATTTCTATTTAAATAATTCATTGAAATCTTGTAGACTTTTATAATAAAAATTGATTTGAAAATGAATTTTAGTTAAAATTTTAGATAATAATTGAATATTAGAAACATTATATAGTGTGAATTTTTGGAAATACAACATTGAATTTTGAAAGGGTTTCTGAAAATTTGAATTTTTCATACTTTTAACTATATTCTGTATAGAATTAATTTTTTTTAAAAAAGTTTAATGGAATTTTTTTTATATTATTTGAAGTTTTTATTTTCTAATACATATTATTAATTGAAGAATTTCCGAATAATCGAAATTTTGTAAAATTAAAATTGTAAACAAATGAATTTGAGAATTGTCAAAGAACTTTTTCAAAAAATATTAATAAAAATTGATTTAAAGAAGAATTTTATTTAAAAATTGCAGAAAATTATAATTGAATTGATAATTCTTATATTGAATTTCAAAAGGTTTGAATTTGAAATTTTTGAAAATCCTAATTGTTGAAAAATAATAATGATTAAATATTTATTTAGAAAAAAAGTTATTGATGCTTTCGAATAATTTTACAATTAAAGAAATTATAAATAAATGTAATGGAACATTTTTCGAGTGAATCAGAATATTCTTCAGGATCATGGATAAAGTTAAAATTTTGTCTGGAAATCAGGGAAAAATAAAATAAAATTTTAGTGTCAACTTTTAATTTTAAATTCGAAACTTGAAAAATCGTAATTTTACAGATTTTTATATAAAATTACAAATCAAAACTGCAATAAACCAACAGAACATTTTTTACATTGTTATTCAATTCAGAAAATTCCCAATAAAATAAATGATGAGCCTACTTCTTGATAGGAATTGCCGACTGATACAGTAATGAAGCTATTATATTTTCTGATGATTATAATTAATTATAATCAATTTAACAGTTTATGTACTTGAATTATTACAATTTTTTTTTTGTTTTAGGTTTTTTAGTATTTCGTGCTAACATCAATTGAAACTCCGTTCACGAAGCTTTAATTTGGTAAGTTTGAAAATTTTAAATTTAATTTAACATGAATCATTTTAATTTAATTTTTTAAAAATTATGAATGATGAGCCTAATTCTTGATAGGAATTGCCGGCTGATATAATAATGAAGCCATTTTATTTTCTGATGATTATTGACTGTTATTAAATTTAGAGCTATTTTTTGTAATAGCATAAAAAGTATTTTGTTTTATTTCAGAAATTCGAAACGCTCAGTGAATACAGCAAAATGAAGAATTTTCTTGTTTTCCAGGTGAGTTTTAAACTTCAAAATTTAATTTAACGTGATCTAGCTCGGATTTTTAAATTTTATCGACTTTTTCAAAAAATGCAACTCTTTCGACTTATTTTCAAAAATTGCAAGTTTTTCTACTTTTTTTCAAAAAAATTGCAACAAAATACCATATTTTTTAGTACAAAATGGAACTTATTTCGATTTTTACATAAGTACATAATATTGAAAAAAATAAATATAGACAAATCTATCAAAAAATTATTTTTAAATTTTTTTTAATTAAATTTTCAAAATATACTCAATTAAAAAATTTTTTTAATAATTGGAGTTTTGTAAAACCTAATTGAAAATAATTGATTTTTTTCAAGTATTTTATTACAATTTTAAAAAATCAATTTTTAAAGTATTTTAATAGCAAATTTTGAAAATAATTGAATTCTCAAAATATTTTAAAGAAAAATCCTCAAGTGTAAATATTTAAAAAGTGAATATAAATGATAATTAACTTCTAAAAATTATATGAAAATTATTTTTGAAAAAAGTAATTCTTACAGTTTTTTCATTCTAAGTTTTCAAAATTCAATTAGGTATTTTCAGTATTTTCAATTACACATTTCCGAAAATTCAAATACATTCAAAAAATAATATATCATTACAATTTTTATGAATTATTTTCAACATTTTGGAGAAAATATGTAATTAAAATTTTTCAAAAAATTAATACAAAAATTCCTTTAAGAAATTCAATTATTTTCGAAAAATTACATTACAATATTTTTAAAAAACTAATTCTAAAAATTGTTTTTAATCATAATTTAGGTAAATAATTTTTAAATCATATTTTTTTAAGATTCGATTATCCTCAAACATGGCAAATTAAAATTTTTTTAAATTTACTTTTTTAGACTTAATAAAGTTTTGGAGAAATTATCTTCATATTTATAATTAAAATTCTTCAGAAATGTGATTAATTTTTTTATATTTTTTAAAAATTCAATTATTCTTAAAAGATTTTATCAAATTTCAATTGTATATCATTAAAAAACTATTATCTCTCAAAAAGTATTTAAAAATTTTTTTGAAAAATTAATTTAAAAATTTCTTTATTATAATTTTTTGAAAATATAACTTTAAAAAAAATTCGACAATTACAGTTACAATTATTATAAAAAATTGAACTTTTGTATTTAAATGATTCTTGAAGAACTTTTAGAAAATTAAAAAAAAAATACATAATAATTGATTTAGAGATGAAGTTTAGTTAAAAATTGTAGAAAATAATTCAATTTTGGAAGGTTTTTAGTTGTAATTTTTAGAAATTATTAAATTTCAGGAGGTTTTAAATTGAAATTTTTTAAATTTTATTTACCGTGGAAAAACAAATACTAACAAGTATTTTAATATTTATATTTTATTATTCAAGTTTTGAATAATTGAAATTAGAAATCAGTGAAAGGGTGAAAATCCGAAAAATAAAATATTTGTGACAACACTGAATTAAATAGACGAATTTTTCGAGGCGATCCGAGGCCTGCATGATCAATAAGTTCTGAACAAAAGTTGATATAAATTATTTATTATCATAATTATATAATATTTTGAATGATGAACCCAATTCTTGATAGGAATTGCCGACTGATTCAATAATGAAGCCAATAATTTTTCTGAATATATTGATTAAAATAAATTTTAAAGTTATTATTCTTTTCTAAATTTCACAAAATAGTCTTTTTCTTTCTTGTTTTAGTACTTCGTTCAAGCAACTGCGAACAAACTTGAATCAAACATCTGCAAAACCTTCTTAATTGGCTACAATTTTTTATCGTTATATGCAGGTGAGTTTAAAATTTTCGAAGTTTTATTTTATAAAAATGATTTTAATTGATGAAACTGAAGTTACTAACGTTTTCATCAACACCAAAAAGATTTGGTTTTAAAAATTTTCTTAAAAAATTATAACCGGTTCTTTGATTAGGAAACAGATTTTCAATCGAATCAGGGCGGAAAAGACAATATAGTTACTGAAAATTTTTTTTATTTAATTTCTTCGACGTAAACGTTGGTAACTTCAGTTTAATTTTTATTTTAAGGAGAGACTTCGACTACATTTTCCATAAAATTACAGGGTGGCCACTTTTTTTGTAAAAAAAAATTCACGGTCATTTCCCGGTCCATTCCCGGTCATAAATTATTTTTCCCGGTCATAAATAATAACTCTGAAAATAAATTATTCAATGAAAGATTGAAAGAATTTCCTGATTTTTAGACAAAACTTTGACTTTTTCCCAAACCCTAAAAATATTTTAGTTTACTCTAAAAATAATTTTTAACTTAAATAGATTTTTTGAAATAAATATTTAATTATTATCCATTATTTTTTCATATAGTAGGTACTCAAATTTCAAAAAAAATTCAAATTTCAAATCCTTTAAATTTGAATAATTTTTAAGAATTGCTACTGCAACTTATTAAAAATTATTTTCAAAATTTCAATTCAATTATATTCTAGAAATAACTAAAATATTTCTAAAATCCACTTGTTTACAAGACAATTTCATGAAATTTTGAATAATTTGAAAATTTTTCAATTAAATATTACATATTTAAAAACATAACTAATTTGAAAAAATGTGAATAAAAATATTTTTAAAGACTAAATTATTCAGAATTTTTAATTAAAATCTTTTAAAATTCAACTTTTCTAAAACTTCAATTTGAAATTTTTTAAAATTCAATCTATAATAATATTAGTAATATTAATTTAACATTCTAAAAAATCGAAAAATTTGCTTATGAATAATTGTAAAAAAACTAATTGATATTAATGAAAAATACGGTTTTTTAAAATTTATTTTCTAAGAAAAGAAATTTTATTTATTTTTATTTACTTTATTTATTATTCAAAAATTCATTTTTATAAATTTCGTATCACTTTTGTTCTAATTAGTTCAAATTTTTAATAATTCTTATTTGTTTTGTTATAATAATAATTGCAAAAAAATTTTTAAATTGATTTATTTTTCATTATTTTATAGGATGTGAAATTTTTTCTCTTTGAAATTTTTTTGACAAATTTAATTAAAATTATATTTTGTTTAATTATTGTTAGAAATAGAAAGAATTTAAAATTAAATTTAATATTTTCTTTTTCTAAGTCTGTTATGTTGGACAACAAAATTCATAATTTTCTTATAAATTCTATAAATTGAATATTTTTATAGTACTTTTTATAAAATTCTCTGACAAAATATAAATAGATTTTATAGAAGATCATTCAATCTTTTTTAATGAAATATAGTTAATACCTAAGTCTTAATATAAATATTTCTATTTTTTCTCACAAAGTAATGTGTGTTTTTAAAAAAAAATTCCAAAATCCCGGTCAAGATCAAAATTCACTGTCATTTCCCGGTTTTTCCCTGTCCAAAAAAATTCACTGTCATTTCCCGGTTTTCCCGGTTTCCCGGTCCAGCGGCCACCCTGAATTATTTTTATAGTCATTTTTTGAGAAGAAATCAATGGTCAAAAAATATTCTGACCCTTTTGGGATTTTTAATTTTTTTTTAAATGAGCCTCCGGAAAGTATAACCACACATAAAATTCTGACCGCCATACTAATTCAATGGGCGTCAGAATTTTATGTGTGGTTATACTTTCCGGAAGCTCAAATTAATAGATTTTAAAATCCATTACTAATTTTGTAGAAAATATATTTTTGTTTCTACAAAAAATTACAGAATGAAAAATTTATTTTTAAAATTTTTGAAGCATTTTCTTATTTAAAAAAATATAGTTTTTACCATTTACTTTTTTTATTTATTTTTTAAATTACTATAAAAATAATTTTATGGAAAATTTAAATCATTTTCTTGATATAGTTAAAAATGTGGTCGAAGTCTCTTAAGTCATAAATGATGATCCCAATTCTTGATAGGAATTGCCGGCTGATATAATAATGAAGCCAATATATTTTCTGATGATCATATCAATTGCAATTAATTTTAATAATTTGCTGTACTCTTTTGAATAATATAAAATACTTTTTATATGGTTTCAGTAATTCGTTGAAGCACTCATGTAGCAGAATAAAATCAAGAATTCGTTGAACTTATTCAATTGACCACAGTCATTAAAATGAAAACTTTATGAAGGTGAGATTTAAACTAAAAAATTTTATTTCAAGGAATTGAAACAAACTTAAATTTCGTTTAAATTCATAAATGATGAGCCTACTTCTTGATAGGAATTGCCGGCTGATATAATAATGAAGCCATTATATTTTCTGATAATCATAATTAATTGTAAAAAATTTTATATTTTTACGTTCTTTATTAACAAGACATTTTCGTGTGATTTTAGTAATTCATTGAAACAGCAAGTGAACAAAGTTAAACACTTACATAGCCAATTCAATGTTGGGCATAGTCGTTGAAATGCAAACACTAGGTGAGTTTTAAACTTGTAAAATTTATTTCATAAAGATGATTCAATTCTTTTAAATAATAACAAATGATAATTATAATTTTGCCTGCATCTTGAGACTTTTGTTTTGTTAGATCTTTAATTTTTTCCTCTCGTACGTATACAAAGATTCAAAATATTGAGAAACGGATCCGAATGTTAAAACTTGTTAAAAAAAAGTATATAAATATTTATAAATAATCTACATCAATATTTTGTGAATTCTTACACAATTATTATTATTTAATAAATTATTTTTTCGATTTGTTTTGGATGAAAAGATTTATCAACAAATTTATGGCACACCGATGAGTTCACCAATATCACCATTGTTTGAGAATAGAATGCTGGATTTTTTAACATATCTTAATGTTATTTGACCTCATTAGTTCAAAAATGTCATTCCGTATGTGTGTGTGTGTGTGTGTGTGTGTGTGTGTGTAAACATCACATTTTCATAAATATCTCAAGATCCTGGATAGCTTAGGGATGAATTTTTTTTAAATTGTAGATCTCACGTGCGGACATAAAATGAGAGTACTTTGGGATAGATTAATAAAGTTTAACTATATTTTTCTTTTAATATTGCAAAAAACGTTTTTTGCCCATAACTTGAAAAAAATGTTAGGACACCTATAAATGTTTTTCCATAATTTTGTAGTTTTTTTAGACGCATCTTTTAATCAGCAAATCGCAAAATATTTCTTTCACCTTTAAAACATCTTCCAAAAGTCGAAAAAATAATTTAATAAATAATCTACGTTTCTAGAATGAAAAAATTTATTTGATTCAAATACATAACCGATTCTTTGACTTACACAAAAATAAAAAAGTATATCATATGTTTTTAAAAAGAATAATAAAAGATAAACTTTATTTTAATTTTATTCATTTTTGATCAAATTTACTTCTATTTTTTCTATAGGTATCGAATGAACTAATAAATTTTTCAGGTTACTTGGGACCCTAAAAACCACCGAGTGACAAAAGTAAGGTCAATTAAAAAATACTATGGAAATAGAAAGAAGCAATTCCATTAACTTTTTAGACTTTACACTCATTAGAGAAAATAATCATATAATCACTGACTGGTATCAAAAACCTACTTCTTCCGACAGACTAATTAATTATTTTTCAAATCATCCAATTCAGCAAAAAAAAGAATATTGTGTACAACTTAGTTGATAGAGCTATTTCATTGTCCAATAAAAAATTCCATTTTGACAACTTGAAGAAAATTAAAAAAATTCTAAAAAACAATAGGTATCCTTTAGATTTTATCGAAAAACATATTGGTATTAGAATGAACAAATTAAAATATTCGAATGAGAATAATATCAACAAAAATAGAGTTAATATATATAGTCAAATCCCCAAGGTCGCTTTGCCCTTTAACGAAAAATATTTCTTTAAGTTGTCAAATGTTCTTAGGGAATTTAATTGTACTTCTATTCCCATCGTAAACAAAAACTCTAATTCTATTGTAAAATTGGGAAAGGATACAACTAAAAAATGGGATCTTTATGGACTCGTGTCCATAAAGAAAATAATAAAATCAATATAACTTGTACCTCATTTAAGAATGTGTTTATGTTTTGGTTCATTGACTTCTCTCACGTGTTTGCTGGTTTGACTTTGTAAAATGAATAAATTTCTTTTCAATTGACAGTGATTCGCTGTATGAGAATGTCTTCTCTCTATTTTAAATTTTATTCTTATAAGTGTGGAATAATTGTTTATTATATTTTGACGAAATTTTAATCTTTGACGTGTTTGCATGTGTTCGATGTTATAACAAAATTTAGGTATACAAGTATAATTATTGTTAATTTATAGAAATAGTGCTTTTAGACCTTTACAAAAAAAAATACTGAAGTGTAACCTATCTATTTAATAAATTTTAGCCTGATGAGGTTGGCAAACCCTAGCCAACGAAACGTCGCTCTTTTAACGACACACTTTTGAATTTTTATTCAAATCTTACCTTCCCAAGATCATATACATTATCAGCATTAACATTATTATTATTATTATTATTATTATTATTATTATTATTATTATTATTATTATTATTATTCATTATTATCGAAAAGGGCTCAACGCAGATTTTTCCAAATTTCACTTTTTTTGCATTATTACATAATCCCAATGGATTATGAAAGGAGTTTTCTTGAAAGGAAAATTTCATCTAAAGGAACTTTTAGCAGATAATAGTGTATTAATGTGTGTTTTCCTTTGTCTTTTAACCTAAGATTGTTCGTTTTTTAACCTAATGCTAAATTATTTTTGAGTTAAAAAAAATCTAATACATTTTAAAATTAAATAAATTGTTTCTCATTGTTATTAAGAAAAACTCTTTTATTATTTTCTTATACAAAATAGCATCTAGTTACTATGAAAGAAAGCTGGAGTCTTTTAATAAAGCTGTGTAAAATAAACAGTTTTTTGTGTCTCCTGTAAAATTTTACAACACTAAGCCTTTGTCAAAATTCACGATTCAATTATTTTATTAAAAAAAAAAGCCAACAGCACGCGGTATTCCCAAGCGGTCACCCATCCAAGTACTAACCGCGCCCAAAGATGCTTAACTTCAGTGATCGGACGAGAACTGGTTTTTTCATCGTGGTGTGGCCGTTGCCTATATACTCAAGTGTTGTAAAAGTTTCACATTAGTACATGGATAATGATGCATTCGATCGAAACGATATAAAAAACGATTCATATTTGTTCTTATATTATGTAAAAAAAAACGATATGAGAATAAGTCTTTTGTTTTTCGAATGATATTATCGTTATTCGAGCAAAAGTACCGAGATTCTCGGAATTTTTTATTTGGACATTATTTTAAAAACAATAAAAACAAAATGCTTGATCAAATACATTCAAATAAATAATAGTTTTTTGATTAGAAGTTTGTTGATGTTTCATAGAAAAGTTGACTTCATTTTTTAGTTAATTTATACAATTTTATTTTTAATTAAAAATTGATAATAATTAACGTCTAGTTAATTTAAAAAAATTGAAACTCACTTTAAGTTAATTGCATTTTAAATTAAATAGAATAAGAGAGTTATTAAAAGGTGAATAAATTTTTTTTCATTATAAGATAATATTTATAAGATAATTATCAATTTTCCAGTAAAATTATAGATTTTTAAAAATAATTGATTAATTAAAATTATAACAAATAATATTTTATGAATTTTTTAAGGTTTTATTCAGAATTTCTCTTATAAAAAGAAGGGGAGTTGGAAAATTTCCAGTTTTTGAGGTTCCACTTATAGGCATGATGTCGCTGAATCAAAAGCCGTTTGATTTTTTAAAATCGCTTCAGAAGAACTCGAGATATCACTCTTGCCAGATCAAAAAAAGACATTTTGAGAAAAACGCATTTAAAGATTTGTTCATAAGTTTCGAAATTTTTTTTTAAAAATCATCGGATTTGCTTGAAAATCTTTACTCGGGGGTTTTTTGAGGTCGCTAATTACGAATATGGAATCAGATTTTTAAAATTCAAAATGGCGGATCCAATATGGCGGACATTTTTTTTCAAAATCATTAAATTTGCTTGAAAATCGTTACGGGGGGGTTTTTAGGGTCGCTGATTACGAATATGACATCATTTTTTTAAAATTAAAAATGTCGGATGCAATATAGTAGACGAAAGAAAAAATTAAAATTAAAAAATTGTCTTTTCCGCCATATTGGATCCGCCATTTTGAATTTTGAAAATTTGATATCTAATTTGTGATCAGCAACACCAAATACATTTTTGTTTGTCTTTTTTAAAAAATGCAAATGAGAAAACATTTAAATCATTCGATTGCTTATCCGCGTACAAGAACATCTTTGACATGGCGAAGAATAAGGATGTATAACTTTTGTTTTACTTCGAATTTTGCAATAATATTTTAGGAGAGTATTCTTGACACTATAAGAAATCCGAAAATAAAAACAAAAAAAAATCGATTTTTTTGACATTTTGAACTGGAATGTCCCCTTATTTAAAAACCAAACACAATAAGTATTGCAACTTTAATAATTACAAAAAATTTTATAATAAGCTTTAATTTCTCATTAGAACAGACTTAAAAAGAGTACAAAAAAAAAGAATAATCTAATATTGCATGGTTGCCACAGAGCCTAGAAATCCTGAAAAAGGTATGGCATTTAGGACCAGTAAACAATTTTTGTACTAACAACTTTTAGTAAACAGAATGCTATTTTCTTATTTGTTTCTCCATTGAAAAATGGCAAGAATATTTAATTTTTAAAAATATATCACTTAATAGTCTCAACCCCTAAAAAAACATAAGGACTTTTGGCCAATAAAAATTAGATTGACACTCCTCCTAGTCCTATTTCAAGAATGCTATTTCCTTATTTGTTTCTCTATTGAAAAATGTCGAGAATATTTAATTTTTAAAAATATATCACTTAGTATCAACCCCTAAAAAACATAAGGGCTTTTGGCCAATAAAAATAAGATTGAAACTCCTCACAGTAAATCGCGAGGTGTTAAAATAACACAAGAATAGATTAAAATAATCTGCAACAGTTTAATCCCTCTAGGATTAAATTAACACCAGAAAGGATTTAAATATTCCATTTTGGTGTTATTTTTGACTAAAAATGAAATTTTACTATAAATCAAACATCAAGTCAACGATTTGTCAAAATTTGACGAATTCAGCTTCATCAGGGACAATAGTTAGTTAGCAACTAACTTACTAACTTAACGAGCTAACTAACTTTCTAACTTACGAACTAAGTAGCTTACTAACTTCCTAACTAACTAACTAACTTACTAACATTCTAACTAACTTACAAACTCACTATCTTACTAATGAACTAACTTACTAACTATGTAACTTACTAACGATTACTAACAAACTTACAAATTAACTTAGTTACTAACTAACTAGATAATTTAATTAGTATCTAACTTATTAACAAACTAACTAGTAATTTAATAAGTTAGTAAGATAATAATTAAGTTAGTTAATGAGTTACTTGGTAAAGTAGTTAGTAAGTTAGTAAGATAGTTAGTTATTAACTTAGTAAGATACTTAGTTAGTAAGATAGAAAATTACTAACTAGCAAACTATCTTACACAATTAATTACTAACTAACTTTCTAAATAACTTACAAACTTAATTACTAATTAACTTATTAACTAACTTGATAATTAGCAAACTTACTAAACTCAGTTACTAATTAACTTACTGTTTAGCTAACTTACTTACTTAACTAACTAGTTAAATTAGTTAAGAACTAACTATTTAACTTAGTAAATAACTTACTTTCTAACTTACTAACCAATTGACTAATTAACTTACAAACTTAGTTACTAATTAAGTTACTTAACTTAGTTGCTTACTAACGTACTAACTAACTTACTATCTACCTTACTAACTAATTTACTAACTGACTTACTAACTAGGAAACTTACAAACTTAATTAAATAATTTACTAACTTAGTAACTAACTAAATAGTTAACGTAATTACAATCTAACTTCTTAACTAACTAACTAGTTGCTCTAACGTTGTCCCTAATTATCCCATTTGGCCCATTTTTTGGATTTACACTCCTGGAGAGTATATAAACTCAGACCTATAAGAGCAACACAAAAAAAATTTTTTTGTATTTCTTTTCATGCTAGATTTGCACACATATTTCTTTTTTTTACTAACTTTTTTAAAATTTTTGCTCTAACTTTGTCCCTAATTATGCCATGCAGCTCATTTTTTGCATGTACACTTCTGGTTTGTTTAGAAAGCCAAATTTTTTTCGGCAACGTGAAAAAAAATTTTTTTCGCAATTTTTTTCAACTTTGAAAAAAATTCTAAAAAAATTTTTTTTGATACTAAATCACTTTTGGTAAGTCCCAGAGATGCTCCAGTTCAAAGGATTTTAAAAAATATCATTTAGGTAAGAAAAAAAAAATTTCGAAAAATGACGTCACAACGGTTAAAATAGCCCAGAAATGGGTCCTAGATCAGGCCATTTTTGAAATTCAAAAATGCACTTGACGTTCACCAATCTTTAAATTGCTATAACTTTTTTCTAATTATCCGATTCGGCTGAGCCTACATTTTTCTGACTTGTTAGGACTTTCTACAAAAAATCTCTTTTGTTGAAAATTCTGTAAACAAATTTTTTAAGGGTGTTTTTTTGCAAAACATGCTAAAAATTGGCGTTTTTTCAATCGTAAAATTTTTGATTGTTTCAAAGCCTTTTTTTGACACATCGCCATTTTTAAATTGCTATAACTTTTTTTCTAATCATCTGTTTTGACCTTTTATGCGAATAAAGAAAAAATATTGTTTTTGCCTTTTTTTTGTAAAAATTACAAAATTTTTCTCCTTTTTATTTATAAAAAATATTTGAAAATTGTTCATTGTTAAAAAATTATGATTAAGAAATAGGAAATATTATACTCATTTTATATACATAATTTTTATTTCTCAATAACGCAGTATTGTTCACAAACTCATATTTTTCACTTGGGGGAAAAAACATTAGGTACTTATTCCCGTTTCTTAATATTTTTGTAGAAAATTTTCATATTGAAATAACTTTCATTATTTCTATTTCTTAATGTACAATGATTTATTAATAAAATTTAAAGTAAAATAACAGAAAAAAATGTTAATAAATTCTATCTGCCAATTACAAAGTTTAGTTAAAAATTTTTGAATTTTTAGAAAATAACAAATTTTAAATTTAAAAAATGAATGAAAATTTTTTTTATTATTATTCAAAAACATCAATAACTTCTTTTTTAAATAAATATTTAATTATTATTTTGTCATAGGAATTAGCGACTGAGGTATACGTCGTTAGTACCAAATAAAAAGTTAACCGCGTGAATTATTGCTTGTTCATTATTAAACAATAATAAAGACTTCTTATTTTTTACAGCTTCCGACGAAATGCTAATGTTTATATGGGAAAAATTGTAGAAATGAAAAAAATTCCTAGTTCCAATGAAATTCAAGTGTATTAAAAAAATCCAAAGTCAAACCTGATGTATAGAAAAGTGAAAATAAGTAGACTCAGTTAAACAGATTTTATTCTAATGTAATACTTTATTTAAGACTTAGATGTAATTAATGTAATCTTATAATCTTAATAAATATCCATAGCAGTTTATAAATCTGCTATTAAAGCAACACCATGCGCGATTCAGAGTTTCACATAAATAAGAAAGAAATTCATTTCAGTTGTTTTTTAACAAGTTTACAAGTATCGTAAATGTTCTATCATCTTTTTTCTTCACTCAAACAATGTCTTTATTCTCTTCCTGCGATCGAAATCTGAGTGTTTTTTTTATAAATCTATACTTTTTTTTATTTTATCTCTAATTTTTTTTATATATATTATTTATCAGTGACGCCGGAGGACGCGATTATTATGCAAGAGATCGATGGCTTCAACTAGACAATAGAAACATAAAATTTGATTTCGATTGTGAATTTTGATAATAACACCTCTGCATTTTTAAAAACACATTTCAAAATCAATTTCATGTCATTAAATAAATAGAGGAAAATAAAACGTAAATAACAATTTTACTACGGATTGTCGGTAGTTTTGAACTACTTACTCTTAATATGATTCTAGTTTGACAAGCTTGAATATACTTTTTTTTAACAATAAGCGTAGATTTGACAAGAAAGCTTAAAATCATGGTCTTCGATATTTAATGAAAATGTTGAGGTAGACTCATGACATGATGTGATAAGAATTAATTTGTTTTTTTAAAACAAAAATTTGTCGAATTATTTAACTTTTTTTTCACAGCATTGTAAAAATATACTTAGTATACATTTACATAGAGAAAAAATGGACTCTCTTTGAAAGGTACACTGAGTACATTTTTTCTTGTTGAAAACAAACATATTAATTGTTTACAAATTTACACCTTTTAAAGGCGAGAAAAAAAATATTTTCGATACAGTCGTGCGCTTAAATGCAAAATCATAAGAAAACAAGGCACTTCCAACGAGGAGAATAAAATTCTGCTTACAATTTTATCCAATTTGCAATTATACATTCCAAAGTCGAAGACAGTTTAAAATATCAGAAATGTTTAAGTAAAATAAAATCAGGTATTGAAACCAAAAAAATCAACTCAACATTTGATCGCATAAATTATTTGAATCAAATATATTAAATATTTTATATTTATAATTTTCTCTATAAAAAATTGGAGGACAAATTTTGATCCATTTCTTCGAAAATCACCGCGTCTAGAAGTGTAGAAAGGAAGAAATCTCTAATCATACTGTTTGACAGCCATAAACGGAAGATTTTCTAATTCCTTTATATTGCAAAATTAAATAAATATTATAGAAACAAATAATTTTATACTAAATTAAACAAATAAACAAATGTTTGAATATTTTAATGATTTTAGAAGATTTAATCTTTACTGTTTAACAATATAGTTTTTAGAAAAATATATAGTTTATATCTTTTTAAAATTTTGTAATGACAAAATTTCTCGAACTATTCTGCGAGAGGGACGATAATAGTTTTTGGTGAAATTATATCGTCACGATGAAATTTATAATTAACAAATCGGTTTTCATTGAAAATTACTTTGTTCGTCGGAAAATCGACGAAAATCCTCGTCAATGGTTTACAATTAATCCCAATTTCGACATTATCAAGATAATTTTCGTTTTTTTTTTTGGAAAATCGAGAATGTTGAAGATTAGAGACTAATTTTACAAATGGCAGCACGAGTTACGTCTGCTTAATTAGAAATGAGCTGAAGATGTGATGAAATCACATCTTGAAATTGTTTTCTTTTTTAATTAGAATATCAAAAGATGACAAAGTCGCTGACATTAAACTTTAAAAAGTGTATTTACAATTTTTTTTTTTGATGCACTAAACAAGGTACCTATATATCACAATTGCTTAGAAAAATAATTGATATCAATCTTGTACGTACATTAAATTGAATATAAATTCAATTCAATTTAAGCATAAGACTGATCCAATGATATCGCAATTTTATTTCCTTTTTCTACCCAATTTCTTAATCTTCCTCGAAGTTCTTCTAAACTTTTGGATTTTGCTTTATTAATTCTTTTGTATTTAACGTCCTTAGGTTTTGTAACCGACCTGTGGTTACTCATCACTCTATTGTACGTTACCTGTAACAATTTAAAAATAAGTATTAGAATTCTTTTTCTTAATAAGCAACAGAACCACCGAATAAAAATTCAGGGACGAAATAAAAATGTAGAAAAGATTTAGAAAAGATCTTGAGGAAAATATTTTATAATACAAGATATCAGAAAAAAATATAAGCAAGAGAAAAATACATAAAAGTAATCCTTATCTGAACTCGAGCAATAATGATAAAGAACGAAAGCACAATCATATAATCATAAATAGTAACAATCGTAAAACATTCAATTTAAAAAGACTACGCATCAGTAAGGGAAAATAAATGTTTTTATATTTTAAGATGAAAGCTTTTTGACATTTAATATTATTAGCTATATAGGAGTGGAGTACAGAGTACGACAGAGTAGTCACCATAGAGTAAGTTTCATTAAAATTTATTGTAAGAACATTTACCTCCGCCCAATTTAATGCCGACTTAGTATCTTCATTCTTTAAGAGTAGATTTTTCTTTAAGCCATCGAGACTAGAATGCATATAAATCTGTAAAAGTGAACCAAAAAGAACGTATGTTTAGAATATTTGAGAACACTGTTTAAGTCATTAGTAGAGAGTAAAAATAATAGAGAACCCAGTACTGTTCCCTGGGGAACAGTTCATTAAATTCTACAAATTCTACAACACCCTGCATCTTACTGAATATATACGGAGACAACTGTTTTAAAACTGTAACAGGAAATTATTGTTGGTTTGAATGTTACAAAAGAATTGGGATTGTTGACTGTAAATCCAATTTTACCCCCTTGTTACTTTTGCTCACCGGGTATAATTTTTATTATTCATTTATTAATGCTTTTATAAAACAATTTTTTAAAAATTAATTGCCAAAAGGGGGGGGGGATATTGCGGTAGAAGGTTTATTCGTTGATGTAATTAGCATGGCTTGAGACTTATCCGAGTTAAGATCTGCTAAACAAAGTTAAAACCTAGTAACCACATTTTCCATAAGGTCGTGTTTTGTTAATAATCTAGGTGAACTTTGACCATATGAAAAAAGCAGTTACTAGGTTTTTACTTTGGACAGCAGAGATCGAGTCCATTATCATTAGCCCACTGCGCAACATAATCAATATCAATTTGTATTTTTTTAACAACTCAGGTAGCGATAATAACGGACCCGATAGATAAAATTTAAAGTCGTCAACATATTTATGAAATTTACAGTTCTTAAGCTGATTCCCTAGGTCTGAGATAAATAAATTAAAAAGTAAAGATGAAAGTGAAGCACCTTGCGGAACGCCACATTTAACATTATCCCAGTCTGAGCAATTACCACCTCCATCAACTATCCTTTGAAATCTCAAAGCAAGATAAGACCCAAAGCAATTGCACACAGATTTAGATAACATAAATGAATGCAATTTATTTGTTAATAAATTATGATTGACTGAAGGAAATGCTTTTGAGAAATAAAAAAATACCACAACAGTAACATATTTCAAATTCATAGCAAGTTTAATGTCGGTTATAAATTTTAAAGAAGCAGTACAAGTGCTGTGTTTAGCGCGAAAACCTGATTGCAAAGGTTCTAAAAAATCATTAGAAGATAAGAAAGATGATAACTGTTTACAGACTATTTTTTCCAAGCGCTTAGCCATAGAGCAAACTAAGGAGATGGGTCTAATAGTTATCAGGTGTCTTTGGATTTTGTATTTTTGGTATTGGACGAACAGAACTCATTTTCTATATGTCAGAAAAAATTCCAGATTAAAGGGGATAATTAGATATACGTGCAACAAAATGGGAAATATTACGGGAAGAGCCAAATTAATCATTTTAATGGATTAGATTCCTGTTGTCCTCTAGAAGTCCAGTATTTCTTCTATCAAAAGGTTGCTTTCCAGAACTGATGTTTCATTACATATCTTATATAATCCACACTCTCCCGTAAGCAGACGAATCACGGTTTTAACTCTAATCTTATTAGAGGCCTCAATAGAGACTTCACTTGCCTTCCTACCCCATTTCATGCTGAATATGTTCCATGTTCCTTTTGAACCATCTTTCTATGGCTCCTTTAATCAAATACGACATTATTGCCACTGCTGGTTCTGGACCTATCAGTACCGACTTGGATCCTGTTCTTGCCAAAATGTCAGCTCTTTCATTTTCCTTAATACCCGATTGAGGTATACCTAGATCAATGAAAGCTTATTTACTGAACCCAACTTATCCAATAGATGAGTCTTGATTCACAGTGGATTCCTTGGAAATGATAGAGCGGATGAACTAACCAAGATAGGTGCTAGGGAGTAACTTATTGGGCCTGAGCCCGCCTGAACCCATGTTAAAATACTCATGGGAACTAATATAAATTGCAGGAGAAAAGAGGAATTCCGCAAATTTTCTAGAAAGGAGGCGAAAGTGATAACTGGTCGTGGTGATTTACGCTATTATAGACATAACATATGAATCATTGAATCTCTAGAGGAGTAGCGTAATTCTTATTTTTATAGCTTGGATACAGCCTTCAGTTGCCCATCACAGCTTCTACTGCTCTGCAGTCAGCCACTGTTTAAACTCCAGGGTCAAATATTTGTCAATTGAAGGCTCAGGCCCAATAAATTGTTCCCCAGCTCCTGTTTTAGCTAGTTCATCCGCTATCTAAATAACCCTGAATCTATCGAAATTTTGTACCCAGAAGTGGTTATTTTAAGTTAGTCAGTTGAGTGCGTCACGTATATTTACTTGAGAGTCTCTAGTAAGGGGAACTGATTTTTTCTCTCCGTACAGACGTTAAGGGAATCAAGTTAATTAAAGAGTAATAACTCCGCAACTAATGATTCTCTTAAACGGCATTAAAGAGAATTCATATTTTGGACACGTGATTACAGAGAATTGAATTGGATAGAAATGAACAACTTAACAATAGTAAAGGACTTCATTACGATTGCGGACCAAAAAAGTATTATTCATCGCGATCAGTATTGTTAGAAATATGGTAAAATCAGCTATTATTTCATTGCACTAAACTTACGAAATATCGCAAATCGTATTACCTAAATTTCTCTCGAAATCGAGAGTGTTTTCTGAACAATTATGACTTATGATAAAGTACTCCAGGCAGTGAATAGAATTTGAATAAACAATTCGCTAACGTATGATGTAACGCAGTGTCTACATTAGACAATCTCTTTTGAATTATTGTCGTCTGGTGACAATTAGCCCGATATGCTTAAACCGTTTAGTTAACGGTTATTTTATGTGAGGTGGAAACCTCAAAACCACATGATAACGGCAATCCCGCATGTTGACTGTGCTTTGATACAATTGGCAAAACTCAATATTTGTGGTAAAAAGCTACTACTAGCAAGGTTTCTTATCGCTCACATATCTTTACTGGCAAAGCTAATAGAACTCAAGTGCAATAGGCGAACAGTTCTGCCAACAGCTTTTCAGTGTCAAATAAAAATTTTAAGGCTACTATGGCTCTAACTTCCCCACCTGTTACTAAACTGAAGAAAAATAATTTATGCCAGTAACTGTAATTAAACTTCCAAATGTTTAATTTACCACAGATTCGAATGTCTCCACAATAATCAGTACAGATGCAGGTTCAAGTGTTGTGTGATTAATGAGAAATTCGATCTATTGCAGATCTAAATAGAGTTCAAAAATTAAAATTATTAAAAGCATTACACACCTGAGCTTGTTGAATTTCATCCCTTGGTTTTTCACGTGGTGGGGATTCTGTTTCTTGAGCAAGACGCTCAAAACTACCATATAAGTCTTGAAGACGACCTTTCACAGATCCAAGGCCTTTTGTCCTTCTTTCAACGCACTCCGTGTTTTCAGAGGTTTCCCCTGGATCCTGATCCCCATCTTCTTCCACAGAATAAACCGTCTCTAAAATTTCTGGCCTTCTAAGGTAACCATTGACTCGTCTCATTGACAAGTACTTACTGGATGGTTCAACTGCATCGGATACTGATCGAATAACTGTCACGTCAGTTATATTCGATCGAAATCTAAAAAACAAACAAATATTATTGATAACTAAATTTTAAGTTTTTTTTAATTAATGTTTTGATTCTCTGGTTTGAAAGAAGAAATTAGGCGTTTAGTTTAAAAAGAAATTAATAAAAACGATGAAATAGTCGATCACTCCGAGTCAGGATCCTGACTCGGAGTGATCGACTATTTCATCGTTTTTATTAATTTACCGACCGAGTGGTAACATCATTACTATATATTATTTAAAAAGGTATGTTTAGAAAACTGACCTAGGTGTTGAAAAGTCATCAGTCGTTTCTTCTAAAACAACAGCACTATCGCTGTCTCCTAAACTGTCTAAACGGTCTAGAGCATCACATGGTGGAGAATCTCTGATGTCAGTAGTTCTTTCAGATAATCTACTCTGCAATTGCCGAATGACTCTTTGCTGCTTCAAAATAATCGCTTCCCTTTGCGCCAAATTTGCTTCAATTTCTTTCTGCTTTCGACAAAGACGTGACTCGAACAGAAGAAGTTGAGAGGAAATATATCGCAATAAGTCCCCTTTTTCTCTCCTTAATCGGGCCACCTTCTCCTCCTGAAATGAAAAGCTACATTTATAAATGTTCTTAATAGTCGTCTAAGTAATTAAGGCTCCGGATCTTGAAAGGGCACTTTCAGCATTGATTTCTAAATTCCCTTTTAAGATTCGGAGATGTTTTGATCGGATATTATTCGGATTGCAGCTGACTATTACCGAAATCTTTGCATACAGGTTTTGGAATGTTCCATACTTGTTTCGGATTAAATCTTTTAACTGCATTAAATTCGGATTATTGACGACTGATTTCGTATTCTTTACATATATTGATTTAGGATTATTCTGTCTTTATTTTAGATAAATTTTTTAACGGACATAATTTCGGATTGTTTCGAAATAATTACGAACTTTATTCATAGACATTCAAGATTAGTCCAGACTGATTTAGGATTCATAATTTCTCTCGGATTGATGTTAGACTAACGCGGATCATTTTCGTCCATTTTTCGTATAATTATCGGACTAATCCACACTAATATGTCTGGATTTAATTCGGATTAGTCTGAAATTTTTACCAGGGATATAATGTGATTCGGGTCATCGGGTGACCGACTATTTTCGGATTCTTAGCATACATATTTCGGATTGTTTCGTATTTGTTTTGGAATAGGATTTTACCACACTAATTCCAAATAAATAAGTATATGAATTACTGTTAATACTCACTTGCAATTTTAAAGACTTTCGCCAATGAAATGTCTGGTATGCTTGCGCTGATGCTTGCTCCTTCTGCCTTGCCTTAAGAGCAGCTATAACCGTTCTTGCCTCTTCAAGGGATGTGATTTCAACATCAGTCGTGACGGGAGAACAGCTTTCCACTGACGAATCATCAAAACTAAAAACAAAAATACACTAAATTAGAATTAAAACGAAAGACTTTTATTACTTAGCCCTCTGCTTGCTCAGAAAAAAAACGACAATTCGATAGGGGAATTGCATTTAAAAACATTTAAGTATCTAGCGTTTTTAAAATAAGTCAAAAATGACAGAAGGTTAAAAATTATCATATTCTTTTTATCAAATCGAAAATATTTAATTTTTCACGTTCGTTAATGATATGGTTTATTTATTTATGGTAAATTTTTGCTCGAATCCTAAATTACCTTCGATGCAAACAATAGATAAATAATTAATTGATTTACATTGCTAGAGGTTTAGTATGTTTTACATATAAATAGAATCCTCGTACTGTGTATACAGCTTTCGTGTATTAATATCACAATAATTCCCGAGGCTAGGCCATTTCTCGACCTTGCCAAGTAAGATTCCTTAAATGCGAAGACGTTCTTTTTTTTTTACTTATTTCTCTCTCCCTAAATGACAACTTTTTTTCTTCTATTTTATTGCTCTTATTTTTCAATCCTACAGTACATTTCTATACATATATCAAGCGAAACTTGACCGGAAGACAACTTGGAGAAAATGGTTTTCCATATAGAAACTTTCCTTCGTCATTATGTATTCTACGAACGTTCATTTCATCCATTCTGGAAATTGGTTCAAACAACAAAATACTTTCCCAAACAGAGAACAAGATAAATTTTTATTCAAAACTTTAATTAAGTTATCGTTATATTCTTATTATCGCAACATCTTTAATTAAAAAGCACGTTTTATTTCTTGAAAAAATCCGTAAAGCTCTGTGAAGAAAACTTTTATTTTAGTTTGTAATGTTCACCTTAACTGAAATTTTCAGCGCAATTGTTAGAAGAACTCGATTAGAATCTTGATTGAAATTTTCGAGGATCCTAAAAAATTTTTAGTGGAATTTTCCCTCGGGATTCTTTTGCTTTTTCTTGATATTCTTAACAAAAATCTGTATTTCAGATAATAATTTACGTTTAAAGATAATAATTCAATGTTAAATAAAAACGAAATGAATTATCAGAATTTTGACGTCAAAGGGAAAATAAATATAAAGAAATAAAATGACGTAATTGATATTCAAATTTTTACAGTAAATAATAATTTATAATAAATAATAATGTCAAGAATAATTTTTTTAAAGAACTAAGTCAATATGTTAACGTGTAAATATTGACAATCTATTGTAATAATGTATTGTAATATTCAAAGTTAAAATAATAAGCAAACTCAATGACGAGGTTACATTACCTGTCCGAGTAAGTTTTTGTTTATTAACTTACAATGTACACGTTATTCACGTGTCCAATTGTAGGAGGAAAGCATTCACGTCGTTATGCTGAATATGAATTCTATCCACACAATATACTATATCGAACAAATATGTCACGAGTAGATAATATATATATATATATAAAGAGGAAAACCCCCTTCCTCCCCATCCAGTGTAGGAGTAGAAAGTTGCTATTGTATCGAGATCTGGTTATTTATATAAATGGGTATACAGCACTGTTGCTTTAAAAGACAGTAATGATAATGCCGTAAATATTTTTTGTTCTATAATCAAATTTGCAGAAATTAAAATGTAAACAAAGGTTGAATAGCATGTTCTGTTCTTCATTGACAGAGTGTTTAGAACTATGATTTGACGAGTGTTTTTCTTTATAAAAATTGGTTCAATTCATATACGAGACATCATAATCAGATAAATGATAATACAATTTATTAATGAATTTATCACTCGGTCGAGAATTATATAGGTGAAAAAATTCATTCTTTCCCTTAAAAATACCCCTAACGAAGATTACTACTAGATCTACACTATAAAAAAAAGGTTCTAAATTAGAGCTGATTTCGGTATTAAAATAGAACCAAATTACGATTTAGTACCAAAATTGGTACTAAATTAGTACCTTTCCTTTTACAGTGTAAATTGATTATTAAATTAATTACTAAATGCTATTATTTTACAGATTTATGCATATTTTGTAAATGTTTATTAAATGCCCTGCTAGATGGTTTGAAAATTAAAAGCGATGATCAACAATCCCTAGAAAAGTACCCTTAATACCCAGCTGAAAAAGTTCTATAGAATTTCACTAAAATTATTCTATAGAATCATTCTATATGAATTCTAGTGAATATTCAATAGAATTTAACTAGAACGATTCTATAAAATTTCTACATAAATTCTACTAAATTTTAAGAATTTTTAATTAGAATATAAATTTCGTGAAAATTTTTTTTCAACTTTATATTATTGTGTAATTAAATTTTACATTTGATTACACAATAATATAAAGTTGAAAAAAAAATTTTCACGAAATTTATATTCTAATTAAAAATTCTTAAAATTTAGTAGAATTTATGTAGAAATTTTATAGAATCGTTCTAGTGAAATTCTATTGAATATTCACTAGAATTCATATAGAATGATTCTATAGAATAATTCTAGTGAAATTCTATAGAACTTTTTTTTCATAACTATAAAACATGAAGATAACGATCACTCCGAGTCTTCGACTCGGAGTGATCGATTTCTTCATGTTTTATAATAATTAAAGATGGAAAATTGATAAAATCATTATTTTATATTATTATAAGAATATTGTACTTCTTCAAAATTATTTTCATCATTTCAATTTAATTATTATTTTTAATAATTTTTCACTATAATTTAAAAAAAAATTTTTATAAAGTTTCTTTAAATGAATTAATTTTTGAAAAAGTTCTTCGAAAATTGTCAAAATCAATTTATTTACAACATTATATTTTACAAATTTCAATTATTCGTAAATTCTTTAATTCAATGCATATTAGAAAATAAAAACTTCAAATAATATAAAAGAAAATTCAGTTAAACTTTTTTAAAAAAATTAATTTCAAAATCCAATTATTTCTAAAAATTTACGCTATATTGCTTTTAATATTCAATTATTATCTAAAATTTTAACTGAGATTCATTTTCAAATCATTTTTTATTAGAAAATTCTACTAGAATATTTAATTATTTAAATACAAAAATAAATAATTTATTGAATTTTTCTTAAAATGCAATTCTCACAAAGATTTTTATCATTATATTTTTAAATAATTGAATTTTTTCGACGATTTTTAATAAATTTTTTAAGAATAATTACATTTTCCGAGAAATTTGATTAAAATTGTATTAAAAATAATTAAAATTCTACAATTAATTTTAATATTTATGAAAATAATTGAAAACCTATAGAGTTTTATTATTTATGCAAATAATTGAATTCTTGTAAAAAATGTTATTATTTATGAAAATAATTTGTTTGCGTAGAATTTTATTAAGCTTCTTTTTAAATAATTGAATTCTTTTGCAAAATTTGATTAAATTTACTTATTTGAGTAAATTTGAATTTATCTAAATATTTCTTAAAAAATTATATTTTTTAAACAAATTTTATCAACAAATTTTTAAAAATAATTGAATTTGTTCGAAGAATTTGAATAAAATTTATAAGAATAATTGCATATTTTGAGGAATTTATTTAAAATTGTATTAAAAATAATTGAAATTCAGCCACGAATTTCATTATCTATGAAAAAAATTGAATTCCTATTAGAAGAATTTTATTTCTTATGAACATAATTGAATCCTTGAAAAGAATTGTAATATTTATGAAAAATAATTCAATTCTCTCCAAGAATTTTATTAAAATTTTATTATTTAAATAATTGAATTCAAGGTAACAAAATTTTATTATTTCTGAAAATAATTGAATTCCTAAGAAGAATTTTACTATTTTTTAACATAATTAAATTTTTGCGAAGGATTATATTTCTCTTGAAAACAATTGAATTTCTGCAATTATTTGTAACTTCTCCAAAATAAAATTTTTTTTTAGTGTAAACTAAAATTTTTCTATATAAATCCATTATTTTTAAGAATTTTTAAAAAAGTTTTTTGAGAATTTTCAAATTCATTTGTTTTTAACTGAAATTCATTTTTACATAAATTATTATTAGAAAATTCTACTAGAATTCAATTATTTAAATACAAAAAAATAATTTATTGAATATTTGAATGTTTCTTAAAATTTGTATTCTCATAAAGAATTTTATCATCAAACTTTTAAATAATTGAATTTGGTTGACGAATTTTAATAAAATTTTTAATAACAATTACATTTATCGAGGAATTCGATTAAAATTTTATAAAAAATAATTGAAATTCTGCGATGAGTTTTATTATTTATGAAAATAATTGAATTTTTAAAAAGAATTTTATTATTTAGAAAAATAATTGAATTCCTGTAATAATTTTATTTTTTATAAAAATAATTGAATTCCTGTAATAATTTTATTTTTTTAAAAAATAATTGAATTATATTGCGAAGAAACTTATAGAAAATTTTTAAATAATTGAATTTTTGTAAAATTTTTATTATTTTATAAAAATAATTAATTATTTGTGTAGAATGTTATTAAAAATTTTTTAAATAATTGAATTCTTTTGGAAAATTTTATTAAAATAATAGATATATTGAAAATCATTAAATTTTTGAAAATAATTGAAATTTTGCAAAGAATTTTATTAAAAGTTTTTAAAATAATTGAATTTCGGAAAAGAAATTTATTACTTATAAAGATTATTGAAATTTTGACAAGAATTTAAAAAATTTTTAAATATAATTGATACCCAGTAAACGAAAACTAATTGAAATGAATTAAAAAGAATTCACAAAGAGCTTTCGTGAATCCCGCTTTGTGACAAATACGAATTGGAGCCATGATGCAATTTTCCTGAATTCGTGAAACTGTATTGAACTTCCGAACCTTCTATCCGTACCAATTCACTGGACAAGTTTTGAGCCTTTAATTTTTTTCAATTCGTTAGCACGAATTCAATGCATTCCTTGGCCATTTCTTTCGAATGCGAATTCGTTTGGACAAATTGGTACATATTGAATTAAATTCAATTGAATATACAAAGAGCTTGAG